ATAGTCCTAGATTGTAAAATACAGGAACAAGTAATTATGTATATTTGCGTTATAGAGTTTCTTGTAAATCTTATTTTAAAATTTACGTAAACATTATTATGACTTTATTATTAATGTAAATTTGAAAGCGAATAAATGTAAATATGCATACCTCTATTTTATGCTGGATTTTTATGTTTTTTAAAGTCGCAAAATTTTTGTTTTTTTGCATTTATTCCTTCATTTTTGTAAATAGCTCCACGAAATTTTGACAGAAGGTGTAAACCATGATGCTCGTTTTATTTACGTAATAAAAAAAATTTGACGTAAGTTTAGTTACGTCTTTTTTACACGGGTGGTGCGATGTTACTTTTCCACCCAGCGCAACGCAACACACACTGCTTTTTTGATTTTTTGGTGGGTCTCGTCGTTTTGTACCTATGTGCTCATATTGTTTCTTCCGTATTTCCGTAAGGCCTTCGACAAGATGGTTCAGCTACAGTACGGGTTGATGACGTGCTCTCTGGTGCTTTCAAGACGGAATCCGGTGTTTGTCAGATTCTAAAGAAGATTTGGAGGATTTGATGATTCGTCTAGAAACCACTAGTCTCCAATTCGGCCTTGCTCTGTAAAGAGATAAGACGAAGGTTATGATAGTAGATCGAGTTGAACTCACTACCTACTCAAGGAGTACAACAGGTAGCCAGCTGCGAAGTAGTCCAACGTTACCTATATTTACCTCGGCTCTACTATGTCAGACTATGGAGGATCACTAGAACGACAGTTGAAAGGCTCGGAAAGATGTGGAAAGACAGGAGAATAACCAAAATCACAAAGAATCGGCTAATGAAGTCTCTGGTATTTCCAATATTACTACATGGAGCCGAGACCTGGTCATTTAGACCACAGGATTGCCGTAGTATCGATGCTATCGAGCTGCGGAAGTAGAATCAATATTTATTCTACAAAAGGGGGCTATCCGAGCTATATATAACTTGCCCCGTCGCGAATGTCTGAGAGAACTATTTAAAACGATAAATATCCTGACAGTGCCTTGTCAGTTTATATATGAAAATATTATGTACTTATGTAAGGAAAAATTTGCAATTATTTTAAAAAAGAAGCGATAGACATAATTTTAATACAAGAGGCATAGATAGGCTGGCTGTGCCACGATTCCGTCTGTCCAAGGTACAGAAATCCTTTATGGGGTTCTGTGTAAATTGTTACAATAAAATTCCAAGTACTGTATTGAATCTTAACGAACGAAAATTTAAAACTTATATTAAACGTGAATTGTGTAGACAGGCATACTACAAACTTTCAGATTATATTGAGGATAAGAATGCCTGGCAGCATGTTGATTCGGCTCCACTGGACAATACTCAAATATAGTCAGCAGTTAGGTAAAATTCTCAAAAATAATGCATCCTTAATTTATATATCCAAAAAGTTTATATAGAAGCACTCTTAAAGATTGTGAGTACGCATATGTGAGCGCCATGTTCGAGACGACAAAGGAGTAAAATTTTATGATAGGTCCCTCATTTGTTCTTTTTTTTAACAACTTGTCTCTGCATTGTTCTCACATAAGGGTACACTAATGTATACTATAAATGTTATTTTATTGAAATTGTAAAACAATTTAAAAAAAAAAGAGTAACGAATGGAGTTTCTTGCTCGTTCTTCTCCATTCGAATCTAAAATTTGGAATGAGCACCTAGCTTCACTGACGAACAGACTGACAGACTACTTTTCTATGTTGACGTTTCAAAAGTACCTATTTATGGTTTAGTTGGAATAAATGATTTTGACTTTGACTTTGACTTTGCTATGGAGATGTGGTGTTGGCGGCGTCTGTTGCAGATACCTTGGACGGCGTTCCGCACCAACATTTCGATCCTCAAGGGACCTCATATACGAGAATGGTTATATTATAGTCGATTGTATAGTCGTCGTCGAATACTGAATCATATATCTAGAAGTTTGGACTCTATCGAGCGGCTTGTGCTACCTACAAGGCCACACAGAATGCACGAGACGACCACGAAGCTGGTCTCCGACTCGCTGGATAGACCTGTTTAAAAAAGCTACGAATCGCCCGCAGTACAGTGTACTCGCAACGCTCAAAGTCGACAAGTGGAGAGACATCGCTCAACGTTGCTCTAGAAAGGACGACATCCATCCATCTACAGCCACGATCACTCTGCCAAGAGTGTAACGACTAAGATGATATTGCTTCTTTCGCCCTGGACAAGGCGAGACGGAGTATCAGACTTACTGACTGAAAGAAAACCACCGCGTTCCTTCTCCCACTCCAGGAAGTGGCCGCGGTAGGTAGGTAAGAATAGGTATATTGTGCTTGCGCTCGCAACCCCGACTGCTTGACCTGACTTTTGAGATAATTCAATAGCATGTTGTAAATAAATACCACAGAATGAATTTTTAAATCTTTTATTGACAATGATAATTTATTCTGAAAATACAGTTTATAAAAGTTCTTAAGCTACAATTTAATAATAATAATTCCATATTTTTATTCAATACCCATCGCTGCCAATGGGTGACTATTATCGAACAGAGTATATCGATATATCGAGTGGTTACAAGGTAAAACAAAATGTCACACATAGAAAAAATAATTCGTAGTTTAATACACAAAATTCTACAATAACGCTCACTTGAACATCTTGATCAGAGCAAGACCAACCTCTTTGACAAAACTATAAAGTATTAACTACTTTCTACTAACGTACTCGGTTTTAATATTTTACGCTACGCTAAGGACCAATTCGAATGGTTATTCGATTAATCGCGTTCTAATGTAAATAAAAAATGTTTAGGATCAAATAATTTGATAGCGCCTGACTAGGTAAGAAATCATCACTAAGTATTTTACTTAATTTTATCACTACAGTAAAGGCTGTAAGTATATATTATATTCGGATCAATTGTTTAGTTTAACTTCATTAGGTACATTAAAATTATTAATCAGCCTACATTTTCATACATTATTTTTACCACATTATGCTTCAAAAGTATATTCGACCAAATTTAACAGAGACTGAATTACAGATACTTAAGTATTTCTTTTTAATTTAAAGAAATTAAAAAGAAATACTAAATGACTTGTCTCCTGTCTGAAAAAAGCTTCAGACAGGAGACAGGTCATTTGATATTTATATATAAAACACTGAATATCGGTAACGTGCACGGTGCACTTCTAGTTGGTGAGTAGGTATGTCATAAGTGTTGGATTTTACCCTTATCTTCCATTAATTAAACAAGGAATTGACAATACCGTACAATCTTAAAAAATTAAAAGCGTATATTTGCGTTTTATTTTTAGAAAATCATAAAGTTACTTTTTATATAGGCAAGAATAATACCTACCTATAAATAAGTACAAAAAATCCATTTCATTTTTGTCTTTCAAGGAAAATTTTGGTGGTTACTTTAATTTTAAATAAGATATCCTAATATTATTTCTAACATTCCCTGTACGTCCAATTGTATCACTCATACATTGTCTACAATACCTACCGCTAACGTATCTTGACGAGTCTGAAGTTAGCCGATTAGCTGCGCACACAATTTTGTTCCTAAAAGATCCATTGCGCAGACAAACGGCTAACTTCAGACTCGCCAAGATACGGCTGCCGTACTCTATGTAGTTCTCTTCCATGGAGAATTTTACTAGTGACTTTATAATACAACTATTTCCAATTTAACGCTGGGCCTCACTATGACTGATGATCAAGATGTTTTAGCTTACCTGACACATTATGTAGGGAAAATACGCTATGCAAATATGTAAGACACGTTTATTCTAATTTTGTCATTTAGGCAAATAATACTTACTTAGATAAACAAAAATTTAAGTTGGGAGGACTCTCAATAAAAAATGTAGGTACTTAAGTAATTATGACGTCACACAACATTTTAAATCTATATTTTTTTAAATTAACCAAACGGATAGGTGTATATTAAAATAAACTTACTAGCTCCTGAATATATTGGGTTATCATTATGATAAACAAACATGACGTCATTTATATTTAAATCAAACAGTAACGGACGTTAATTTTTCTTGATTGCAATAAGACTGTGATTGTTATAAGTTATGAGATATCATAGCCTTTTATTAGTCGTAGGTAGTGCATTGTTAAAAGAAGTTCAATGTCCACAATTTGTAAGAAATAAAATAATTGCCAAACATAGGTATGTACCTATATTTTTTTTACAACATTGACATAGAAATACAACATTTTTCAAACTTCACCCTTGACGCTAGGGCGGAATCTATAAGTCGAATATAAAAACCTTCATCTATTGGATAGTGTTGATCTAAAATAATAATATATTATTCTAACAACTAGTAAAAAGGAAAAACTATCTTTGAGACAAAAAATAGATATAAATAATAAATAATAAAATTTCTAATTATAAGTTTAAAATCGCCAATCCCTCTTTAGCAAGAGTAGTTATTAACCTCTTGTCTGCCGGTATATGAGACACAATAGAAAACACATTGTCTCGCGTATATCACGGGTTAATGCTCAAACCTTCTTCGTTGAGAAGATGCCTTTGTTCTACAGTGGGCACTTACAGGCTGATGATGATGATGAATGAGACAGGAAATAACTCTTGCTTAACGTTTGCAACGACGCATAGTCCAGTACGCATAGGCATCCGGCCTGTTTGACCCTCAAAGATTTGCTTAAGACTGTGTCTTCATATATGACTTGCGTGACACATTTAATAGATCTAAGTATAGAAAAATATTTAAAAATCTTAAATGTGATAACATAAATAATAATAAATGTAAAAATAAAAAGTTTATATTAGCATTAAAACTTTCGTAAGACATTTTAAATTAATTATTATGTCTAACGCCTCACGCAACTAGTGGGCGAGGTAGCTCAAATTCTTTGAACTCAGTAAGCTATAAGCCCCTAACATTGCTTGAAAACAGTCAGAAACTTTTAATACAAAAATAAACGTTTTAAATTTTATATATTTGATATGGGCGAATGTCGCATGAGACTAACTTAATAAAAAATAATTACATAAAAGAGTAGATATGATGTAAAAAAATAAATTTTAAAAGCTCAAGACTTTAAGGGCCATTTTCGCAGCAGCCCGCTTTGCTTGAGACTTGTTGTGACCGATGCCATAAACGGTGTGTTGAGCATCATTCTTTGTGAATGTAACGCCAACTTTTATCGTTGGTACCTCTCGATCGATAACTTCTGCTTTCCTGGAAAAAGAAACAAGAAATTTTTAACTAAAGACATACAAGTTTATGTCGTGGTGGCCCGGAGGTTAAGGAGCCCGCTTCTCATGCAAACCTGACAAGCACCAATGTCACTTTTTCCGAGTTATATGTACTTTCTATGATTATTTAGACACCACTGACATTTGGTGAAGGTGAACGTCGTGAGGAAACCTGGATTTATAATTTCTAATTATAAGTTTGAAATCGCCAACCTGCATTGAGCAAGCGTGGTGATTAATGCTCTAACCTTCTCCGTGTGAGAAGAGGTCTTTGCTCAGCAGTGGGCACTTATAGGCCGGTGATGATGGTGATGATACAAGTTTAGTATTAGCTAAGAATAGTGCCTCCAATTGTCTTGGCTATTGAGATGGTCACGTGAATATTCTATGGTTCATATACCTAAGGATTAATGTGTTGTCAGATTACTGAGTAATAATTATCTTCAGAACACCGATGTACAGAATTGCCAGGGTACATTTATCCCTACCTCCCTTTGTAAACAACATGAGTTCTACTATTTTCGAAAGCGAATAATAATTTTGGCTTGATCTTCGAACGCAGACAACTAATTCGGTTCCATAGACAAAACTGCACAATTTTATTTCAAGAACGCAAATTGAACGAATTACTTCAATAAAAAAAGTTGGTTCCAAATTCGAAAAAAAGTTACTTTTAGCAACTTATATTACTTATATAGAAAAAAAACATGGTTAAATGAAGATATGAATTGAAAAAATCATGGGTATTTGAATTGGTAAGTTTTAATTCATCAAATCAAAATCATTTATTCCAACTAAACCATAAATTGGTACTTTTGAATCGTCATATAGAATAGTAGTCTGTCAGTCTGTTCGTCAGTGAAGCTAGGTGCTCGTTCCAAATTGTAGTTTCGAATGGAGAAGAACGAGCAAGAAACTCCATCGTTACTCTTTAATTCAAGTACTTACCTATGATTTTTTCGCCATGATATTTATTTATTTTCCCTTTATGTTAAAAACCTCTTCTTTGATCTTGGGTACGTTATAATCTAATAAATTCTAATTTTGTACATCAAATTTTTTATCAATATCATTACTCCATTAATTTATCGATTCCACGTTAGTAAGAATATATTCATTAAGCATCCCATAAATAATTCAATAAAAAATGGTAATTTGTAGATAAGCTCATTGTAGCAGAAAGGTATTGCTTTTCTATATTCAATAATCATAGTATTATATACTTTTATAAATTTTATTTATTTCTTCGTTATTATTTCAAACAAAAATATGTTTTAAGAAAGAGACCTTAAGTGTCATCGTTAATGGCGGTGTAATAATACTTATTTAAATATTTGATCGATAAAGATGAACATTCTATCAGCTTGATTAAGTTTTTTAAAACAATAAATGGGTTTTTAATGAAGTGGATACCATTTTGCATTTCTAAGACAACTAATCAATGCATGACAAAATTGCCGACAGACTACAAAAGAATAAAATATTTAATGCAGATAAGAGGTCGCTACCTAGACCTACTTAATCAAAACAGACATAAAACGAAGAATCTTTATTATATCTTTGCCTTGTATTTTTTTTCAGCCAACCCTATAATCCAGGTGATATGAGTCGACTGAAATAGCCTTTTTTTGTTCACCTGGAAATTGAAAGTGCCGGGTGGCTTAGTGAGATGCGACCTTCATTCACCCAGGTGCAACAAAGCGCCCACCCAGTGAATTCAGGGAAGACGGTGGTACGGTGGTCACCGCCCGTGCACAGTGAGGTTTAAAAAGGTCACATACGTCTCGATAGAGATGTGCTACAACAGGCGTTGTACCGAAGGTACTCTGGAGTTGGTATAAAGTTGTGTTGACGTTCAAAAGTGCCTGTATGGGTCTAATTGAAATAAATTATTTTGACTTTGACTTATATTAAGAGGTCCCGGTGTCTCTTACAGGTTCTGATGGTGGCCACCGGGGAGGTTTTAGTTAGGTAAAAAAATGTCTCACACTCCCTAGTCTTTCTCGCCAAAAGCCAGACGCATTTTGAATGTTTCCCCACGTTAAAAAAATTGTAGCGAAATTCTACCAAGCGGCTAAATTATGTAATAATCTGTGGTGAAGAAAGTGGAATAACCCTTTTTACTTTGTTTGTAATTTTAACAGAACACTAGATAAAATAAAAAAGTATATTTTCACTCACTTAAAAACAGGACAAGCGTGAATTTTCTCGTACAAAACTTTGACAGGTTGCTGCGGAATACGATTGGAGAATGCATGTATTTCGTTGTGCATAATGCGGTATACGACAGACCACACTTTTGTGAGGTCACCGCCGCTGTCCAGGAAGATCGCACCGACTAGAGCTTCTAAGATGTCACTGAGGACCTGCAATGAAAAAAAGTATTAAAGAAAATGAACATTCATAAAACGACACGTATGTATCTTAAAACAGCAACCAGCCATCGAAGTATGGGCATCAGTATTATTATTTCCTCTATCAGGGGATATGCTTTCAACAATTTACTATCAGCAGGTATAGGCTTAATTTTATTTTTATGTGATAGGACGGCAAACGATACGACGGATTAAGAAAGAAAGAAGAAAGAAGGAAGAAAGAGAGAGAGAGAGCTACGAGTGCGTTGCCGACCTTTTGGGGACTACGGATTTTGTTATTTAGGATTTGAGGGAGGAAAAGGATTAGGCCTCCGGTAACCTCCTTCATACGGCAAAACGGCGACCGGATAACCATCAAGTGACTAAGATTTTTTTCGTAAACGTTATCTTGTTTCATGTTCTAGACAGTTCGTAAAAATAAAATTAAAAAAACCCACTCCAAAAAAAAACTAGGTTCCCTTTAAAAAGTAAAAAAATAACAAAAATACGTCGCGTTGGGGGTCGCTCCAAATTTTTTGTCGGGGTTTTTTAAATTTCTACATTGTTTTCTTATTTTATACGTTAATTCGAAAGAAACTATATTGAAATCTCTTCATCCGTTCAGGCTACAGAATGCCACAGACAGACAGACAGACACGTCAAACTTATAACTCTTTTTCTGTCGGGGGTTAATGAATGAGCATCAACAATTTTGACACGGAAGAACAGTCTGAAACGATTTTTCTAGAATAAGCCTACGCCATGTTGGGCCGCAGTCAAGAGGCCGATTGCAGTGCGCAAATAAATTGAATTGAATTAAAAAACACCCACGATCATATTACATCCAACGACGATAAGATGTAGAATATTGACTATCTGATGCTTATTGAATTACTAATCAACTAATAAAACTCGTAATATAAACAAATATTGTTATATTTGTTTATATTACGAGTCACTAAACGCAATAACGGAACGAGTTTATAGTCCATATCTATCACTAATCTTTTCTATTTTTAATAAAACTATAATTAAATTGAAAAAATATTTATATTAAACGTTCTTATTTTATAATATAAAGAACATTTAGATGTATCTAAAATCTAAAGCTAAGTACGGTGCTTTCCATTAGATTGTTTTTTTATAGAGCATATAAATATGGCAAGGTAATAAATAACTACACATAAATATATATAAAAAACCGTAATTCCCGAGTCTGCCAAGTGTGTTGATTATAGAAGATGTATCGATTGATAATAACAACAGAATGTTAGTGTTTACTAACCTTAGGAACTTCAACGTATTGAGCAATGGGACATTCCTCTTCGTCTATTAAATAAAGGACGTCTTCAACGATCTCATGGTTTCTCTGCACTTGATGCTCCACAAATAAGATGATTGCTTTATCTAACGTCGGATTCAGCTCGGAACATAAAAATCTGAAATGAATAATAGTTTATTTCAATAAATATGTCATAGTAATTTATTTCGTTCTCATTATTTGTGTGTCAGTCTAGCTAAAACTCCAGAACGGCTTGACCGTTTTATTAATTTTAGTTTTAAAATACTTGTGTAGGGGATTTTTAGGGGGCAGATGTCAAACTTACCATATGTAAAGTATAAGAAATTTAGTCGAATCTGGTTAAGCTTCACGCCTAAGGCTGTTAAAGCTGCAAACTGCGTGATCTCGAGTGGGTGTTTAATGAAGAACCTTCTCTAATGTATACTTACTTGTGTAATCCAAGCTTTACGACATAAGATGCGAAGGTAACATTATTAACGAGTGCTGATCGTAGGTCCGTCATCTCACCAGGTTTCAATTCCCTGCAGTTCTCGAATATATGCGACGTTATTAGGAAGTCCAATATCGCATCGCCTAAAAACTCTAGACGTTCGTACGACCGTGTCACTCTATTGCGAATGTAAGAAGCGTGGGACAGAGCCTATAAGAATAAAAAACTTGATTTAAGTACTTATATAAACAAATAATTTGCATTACCTTTACATTGATTTATATGAATGATATGGGTTTTTGTTAGGGAAAAATCATATCAATGATTTCTCTCCTCCAAGGTGAGGCGAGAGGGATTTTCAGACTCCTACTAAACCACCCTAGGTACTGACTAAGCCTTCCTTTTCCTGCTCTATGTCAAGGCACTTCATTGCGTTTGCCCCAAAACCCCGGCTGAACATATAACAACCCTATAGGGCCCTGTCTGTAGTGGTCTATTAGCTCACTGAAGCGCACGCGGACCGCTACACGCGACATACGCTCGGGCCTGGTTCGGGTCGAGCGGCGAGCTAACCTTGCTCACTCGAACCCGGATGCCCCGACTGTCTCCTATTGCGGCGGCTTGGGTGTTAGGTTAGCTCCTCACACGCTCTGTCCTCTTCTTTGCGAGCATCATGGCTTGCAGAAAGAAGAACGGCTACCCAATTCCTCTCGATCCGCACTACAGTCTCGACTATGGCCGAACGTAAGAGGTCGCCACTGGACATGGGGTACATAGCCCAAGCAGGCATTTTCAGATTTATAAGTATGCTATTCGACGTAAATACGATATTGTATGTACTTATGTTCTGACGTAATATGTTGCGGTTTTATGGATAATTAATAGAAAAGTATGGTTTTTTACATTTTAATTAATTATTCAAGATTTTTGAAATCGGCATCCTCAGCACCAAGTTTGCTGACAGTTGTGCCGAATTTGGGAATAATAGGCAGACCCCTATTAATCAGGACTTGACATCTTAACTGTTTAAACTATCGAAACAAAGTGCTAAGTATAAAGTAATATCTTAAGAAAAATGGGTCGTGTTTATCTAGACGTGCTAATGTAAGTCATAATTAATTATTATGGGTAATTCTATGTTTTTTGTTGTTTATGCAGGCATTAAGTTTAGGTAGTACATACCGAACTTCCTATCTTTTACTTATAGCCTAAGTTTAAGTACTTGATCTTTTCTAGATTAGAAATTATATTCCATTTTGAATAGCTTACCTCCAGTAAGAAGGTTGGGTCATTGAACTTATATTTCAAGATCGTCTCCACATCATTTCTAGAGTAGTTTAGCAAGAAGTTGACATCTTCTGGAGTAGTCTTTTTTTCTGATATAGCAGTCGACACACGCCTGTGTAAATATGCCGCAAATTTGTCCTGAGAGAAAAAAAACAGTTTAAAAAAAGGTTTAAGTATTTAATGTTTTTTTTTTATGCGGTAGGTCGGCAAACGAGTAGCCGGATTGCCTGATAGTTAGAAATCAGCGCCTCTCATGGACACCCGCAACAACGTTACAATTGCATTGCGGACCTTTTGGGGATTTAGGAATGGGGAAGGATAGATATGATATTATTGCTTTCAATGTAGTAAGTAGGTAGCTTTGTGAAAAACAGTACTTAAAGCTAAACGACGAAATAGATCCCGAAACATATAACTTGTAAGTTCCAAATAATTTGTTTTTCAAAACAACAATCTGTGACCCAAATGATATTGGCCATTTGTAGGAGTATGAGGTTCATAGCAAATAAGGGAAACATTTGTTCAGGTGTGGCATGTAGGAAAAAATTGTGTTTCAATTGTACAATAAACGAATTTTCTTCTTAGTCTTCTTAGATCTTGGTTTAAAGTAGCTGGATAGTTCAGCAGGCACGTGTAGCAGCTTGTTCTGATAAAAATATAACATATAACGATACCGGCCAGATTTATCTAAAGATTACACCTAGCGTAATTGCAATAGGTAGGCAACACAGTATCAAAACAACGCGTGACCGCTTGGAAGAAATTATCACACTAATTTAGACAACGACATCGATTTACGAGATAAGCACGAACATCAGACCATCACTAACAATATATGTGTTAGTGTTAATGTGTTCTAATTTTATAGGTAAGATAGGTCGGTAAATGAGCCAGCGGATTCCCAGATGGCAAGCAATCGGCGCCGTCCATGGACACTCGTTTTACCGAAAGAGTTTCTACATTAGTGCGTTGTCGATCTTGCGGGTTGTAAGTGTATATGTTATTTCATGCCAGTTTTCAGTGAGGCCGTGATATCAGTCCGGTCGAGCCGGCCCATTTGTGCCGAAGCATGGCTCTCCCACACTAAATGTTATACTGTACCGTGTAGGGTTAATGTATTCTGCAATCGGCGCCACCCATGTACACTTGTTATAACAAAGATGTTACTACAAGTGTGTTATTAGAGATTAATATTTAATAACAAACCTGTGGAGGTATGATCTGCATCCACTCAATCACTTTGATAGCACCTAATACTCCACCGCTTAATAGATAGGTACCAATGAGCGCTTCCACGCAATCGGCCACCGACTGTAAAGAAAAAGTATTTGTTTTTTATTTGGTAAAAATTTGAATGTCTACAGATTTTTACTTGCACTGTTGGAAGACCTAATATGGCAGTTCCGGAATTTACGGTTCTTATGTAGGTACAGTATGTCAGAGTTCGTTTTATGAATAGTACGTAACTACCTATTAACAAAGCATTTGAAATTGCATCCCATTGGATAGTTCTACAATAAGAATAACAAGAAAACTAGGTTTAAGACACGCTTCTGTCAGGATTAAAAGATCCGGGTTGCGGGGTAAGCGCAATGAGGCACCGCGACTTCGGCCCAGAGCAGGAGAAGGAACGGGGGGGTTTTTAGTCAGTAAGAGTCTGACACTCCCTCCCGCCCGACCCTGGGCAGGAGAGGTCGTTTGATGATTTTCCGCTCACAAAAAAAGGATTAAAAGATGGCAATCTCCAGGTTACACTAAACGATCATAAAGATTCCAAACCTCTCCAGAGTCTAAATAAACTGTCTAAATAAACCAACTAAAACACGTGGACTGCTATGTGTCTCAATTTGGCATTGACTATAGGCATACATTTTTGCCAATCTAAAGCAATCTAAAGAGAAAACTTCGTTCTATGACTCGCGTTAATAAGACAATGAGTCATCGCCGGACAACATTGAGCAATCAACTCGCAAAGTTCAAGAACCTACCTGATTTGATCTTTATCATCGATCGTTTACACTCGGCGCGGCGGGAGCGGACTATTTGTTAATGAAATAGAAAAAAACACATAAAAGATATTGTTTACTTGACATAATATTAGTTCACCTAGACTTTGTGAAGAAATTGTGAGCGATAGCTATACAGGACCCCATGTTTCATAATGTGTAGTGTGCTTCTGTTTTGTAGGTACTTCGTTATAAGCATCATCACGATCACCCACTGAGATTAACCTAACCGGACGCCATTTAATTTGATGTTCAGATAATAATAATATGTCTTAATTATAAGCATTTCTCTTCTCTTTTTTTAATTTATACGATTGATTAACAAAACTATTGATCGAATTTTGTTATGAATTATTGACATAGGTAGAAACTTTTTTTTCAGTGCTACCTTAAATTAACCAAAAGCAACATCAAAATAAATACACAATGACATTGGACATTGTAAGAAAAACAAGAAAATAGATAAGACAAAGAAAAAAAATATAGGTGGTAGGTAACCCCACCACCGTTTTGCCATTCATTAAACCATGACAGACAAACACCAACATGTTAAATTTCTTTTCCTATGGCTAATAGCTTCGAAGATGCGTCGTCTATCAGTCACAGTCGGTCACTCATCAATAAAGCATGAATTTAAATATGTATATTGTTTTTACATTGTTGTGGTTTTATTTTTATTCGCTTGTAGGTATTAACAAAAGTAGTTCCTAGTAAACATGTACTCGCGTTGATTCAACTGCCAACGGACGCTGCAATTTGTTTATTATAAGTTGAGGGTACTTATTAGACTTAACAAAAGTAAAGCAAGTAAGAACAAAGGTCAACAAACTACAGTTTGTTGTTATTAAAATAAATAATAGTAATGGTTGATTCAAACCACAACACTCGTATATAAAAAATAAATAAATAATGTTAATATTATGTAAGTAGGTATAAGACATAACCATTAATAAAGACTAAAAAATCTTGAACAAAAAAAATTGTGAAAGAAATCTTTACACGTGGAAACCATATTTATTATCTTGTTAGCACATTCTGGCAAGTCGAATTAATGTCAGCGCCCTGTATTAAGCATGACACGTGTAAGCGATTCCGTAGTTCCGTAAATCGCAATAAAATCCCGAAATGATGATAATCATTGAGATAGGTATTTTGTGTAAGTGATAACTGGTTTTCAATTATACGTAGGTACGCTGTCGCCAAAAATTCTTTATAAGCAAAAAAATGGCTCCTGTCATCTATAAAATATTTTTGATTAAAATCTATTAGTTATACACATTAAACACGGACAACAGATAAGATAAACACATGCTCTGCTTTATGACAGGAAAACGAAATCTTTCTGATATTAATTAGGTATAGTTAGACACATTTTTTATAGTTAGAAAAATTAATAATGACTTTGCAAAAATGAGGATCAAATTTTGAAAATTATTTTATGCTTACATTATTTCGTCTTATATATTTTTTTTCTTATTGTTATGTGCATTAAGTAGTGACTGTATTGAATTCAGGATCTTCTGGTGTTCAGCCTTAGCATAAGAACTTTATAATTGGCCAAATACAATACTTTTTAAAATTTGAATATAACATTCTTATAGGTTCCGTAAAATCAATGAATGCAAGTTTATTTTTTATTTTTTAATTCTTTATATACTTACTAAAATATTTATTTTATAGCGCTATTTATTTTATTGGTCAAATTATTACATTATCATTTTGTAGCATACGGAACTTTAGCGATGGTCCAAGACGTTCTATTGACATATTTAACCCTCGAGTGTCAAATAATACTTACACACTTAACTTACATAAAACGTCTTTAACGGTATTACCGTGAACTCCACCACAGTGTGCCAGGATTAGCATAATCCTGATTTTTCTCAACACGTGTTATTTATAATTTGTCCATCCGAAAAAGAGTTCATTAAATTTTAATTAAATAAAATAGTCTGTAATGAATCTTGATTATTTATAATAAAAAAAAGGTAGCAAATTGATAGGTATTACAAAAAAAAAACAAACTGAATTTGTGTTTTTTAGTTTTGAAGCGAAAAACGTTAAGGCCTACAATTGTTTGCAAGTTTGCATATGAGATTAAGAAATACATACTTACATACATTTTTTTTTAAATTAAGTGACTTATTGGGTGTTTGAAAAAAAAACTATGCTCACAACCACAAATAAACTATGTACTTAAATTACTTACTCGAAAAATCTATGTATGTAGTGTTCATAAAATAAGTTTTTTTTATTACAGATTTTAGATATACATAGCATTCATAGGTCTACATCAAGATGTTATTACGTAAAAGAGGATATTATTTGAACCAAGTGTCCATTGACAACTGTAACTAATTGCCTACCTATAGGTACAAGTATCCCAAAAGTGAACGCTAAGCCAGAAACAGGAAACTCATGGTAGATATCAGAAAAATATGAAAAACCCGTATATCGTTGAAGCTATAAGTATTTAAAAGTAACACCTTTTTTGGCAGGGGAAAATCATCAAATGACTTCTCCCGCTCAGAGTAAGGCGAGAGAGTGTCAGACTCTTTTTGATTACAAACCTAAACCCGGCCTAAAACTTGAGAGGGGCTCAAGTTTTAGGCCGAGGCCGCGTTGTCACATTGCGCTTACCCCGCAACCCAGTCCCGAATTTTTATTCTTGTTCTTAGATCCTTGCTGTTTGGAAGGCCTGGTATAATAATAATAACGCAAATATACTTTATAATACTTATGTATGCTTAAGAAAATTTTGTGATCAAGCAAATATAATTCATTTAATTTGACAAAATCTTGAATTAATTAGGCACCTATAAAATCCTCGTAAAATCCTCGTTATAATAATTTTACGATTTATTTTTAAATTTTTCAGTTTTTTTCCACACAAAAAAACAATTAAGGATTTTGACACAAAAAAAAATAGCTGGTCAAACCGCGAGAACTGACCAATACTTTAATGAAGTCGGTTAAAAGGGACAGGTCAAGCGCCTGCCTTGTTTTGAAATCCAGTTAAATCTAGTATATTGTAGTGGCTGTATATTGTAATTAGATGTTTTATTATTTGTTGACTCGATATATTGCTGCCATTTAACTGACGAAGCCCATCACAGTTGTATTTTTTAGTGTTACACTCGCATTTGTTCAAACTATTACCGTATGTAGTATTCTGTTGAGACATATCGTACGAGTGGCCGAATAAACAAACATCAAAAAGTAAGACTGATCCAAACAATCAAAATAAATATTACCAATAAATTCTTTAAAAGATTTTTCGTGTCTGTTTCCATGAACATATTTATATATTTTTTACACAAAACAGTCTGAATGGCGGGCTTAATGTCTTAAGGCATTATTCAACCTTAGGGTAGTGAAGAGAAATCAAGCAGCTGGATCATGAGGACGTGTCCCAGAACAAATATAAGAGGGAAAAAAAACAGAAGAAACTGACACGCATGTAATCTTTTTTCTTTAATTTATAAAACGTTGCCCCACACTAGGATTTTCTCCTGTGTCGTAGGTGCGTTTACAAACATACAATTTCACATGCACATCACACCCAGACCCGGAACAACAATCTGTGGATCACACAAAGAGTTGTTCCGTGCGGGAATCAAACCCGCGACACGTTGCGCGGCAGCCAATTGCCCAGCCACCGCGCCAACCGTGCAGTCGGTAATCGGTTGCTACATATACCAAATGTAGCGAACGATTACAACAAAAAAAAAACTGCAATACTATTTTACTGAGCCAAAAGTGCTAAGTGTATAACGTTATGGAAAATGTCAAGAAAACTTACCTTATCCGAGACAGCTTGTGAATGCACGTACAGTTGCATAGCATTCTGAACTTTTTCTGGTGGTTCAACCTCTGAAGTACCTTCCATTGTATATCTTTCCCTCACCATCTTCAAACTTTCTTCTGACAATTCACCATCGAGCAGTTCGTCCCTTGGGAATTGTACGCCAATCAGGAATATTGGACGGATCTGTAAATTTTTAATATTAAGTAATAACAAGTTATTTTTCTATTGAAAGTAACAACTTACTCACGTTAATCAACTTGGAAAAGCTTTACTAGTTTCAATTTACAACAGGAGTCTTATTCATTGTCCATAAATTTTTAATGTTTTACTATTCAAAAAGGGTTTTTTGCCTTAGTCGACTTTGCATTTAACTGACTTAAATATTAATTTTTTTTTCAAATTTACTTCATTAGTTTCCAATATTACTCAATGTAAACCGATCTTTCATCGTTAATGTATGTAATGATGGTGCTACCTAAAAAACGACCTTTAACCGCTTGTCTGCCGGTATATAGGTAGTAGTAGTATATAGGGACAAACAATAGAAAATACATTGTGTCTCGGGTGGATCTGAGCTCTGATATCAAGGGTTAATATTGACATGTACATGTGTCTATTACGTTTTTATAAGTATGAAACAAATATTTCGTCTCCATTCCATTATTCCTGTTCAACAATAATGTTTAAATATCTCGTATATAAACAAACAAAAGTAAGTTTAATTCAATTAATTCTCATAGATAAGTTGAGAATAATTTGCATACCATGAATATATGCTGGAAGAGATTCGAATATGCAGTAGGTACCTATGTCCCTTTGATTTTATTGTACTGTTTTTTATAATATATTTGTTGTACATGATTAATAAATAGTTTTTACTTAAATGTAAAAAGTGTCTTAATTATTTTCTCCAGGTATTACACGATATCTAGTGCCCCTATACAAAGACGGTAGACATACATTTATAGATAGTTAAGTTTTTTGTTGTAGGGTAGTTTTATTCGATCGTCTTTGGACTATAGACTATAGACATGACACAAGTCTAAGTTTTAAGTTAAATATTCTTTATCCAATTGAATTTTTGATTACTTTTTTTTGAAAGTAAATAGGAATGGGAATATTTCTTTTTTATTTTTATATAAGCTAATGGTTTTTCCTGCAACCTCTTTCCACGAAAATGATCCATTTTATAGAAATCATGGGAACTCAGTATTCTTCAATTACGATAATCAATTAGGGATTACAGTTTTTATATCAGTCCGCATATCTATCTATAGTTACTATCTATGTATATTGGACTGATAGATAAGTGATGACATTGGTCGTCGAAAGTTCGATACCATCGTCGAACTCTATACTGAAATAAAATAAAACTACTAAATAACATAGGTGCCTATCTAAAAATAGCTCTTATTCAAAGACCTGAAAAGTAAACACTGAATAAAAGATTTCAGCTGTCAATAATCTTGGTACGTGTAGTAATTTCCCCGCTTAAGTTTTTGAGCGATATTTAATACTAGCTACTCTCGCGTGGTTTCACCTGCTGCCGGGCTCCTACAGATTGTAGCGTAATGTTTTATAGCCTCACGTCTTCCTAAACCCAATTTTTTCTATTCGAACCAGTATTTCCTGAGAATGGAGCGTTCAAACAAACAAACAATGTCTTCAGTTTTATAATATTGGAATGGATCTTTGCTACCTTCCCCAAGTGAGAAAAGTGTGCTGGTGTGCTCGAATGTCCTACAACATTGTGCGTACGAACAAGACGTTCATCTCGCAATAATAAAGAGGCTTAAGTCTGATCTCCTGTTACGACATGGCCCTAGGAGCCTGTTCTTATTTCGTCAATTGGTCACGTCAACTTATGAAATCACTAATTTTTTATTAAGCACGGTACTTAAATTTATTTATAAAACTGCAAAATAAATCCACTCAAAATGTGTTTCGCTATGTTGTTAAGATCTCATGCTATAATAATTCTTCCAGTTTTAAGTAGCTACAACAATGATCCCCATCTGAACAAAAAATACAAACATAACTCAAAACCTTGCGTTAAAAAGAATTTTGAAACATAACTACTATTTATAGATAACTCTTAAGGGTAAAGGGTTACATAATGTATTCATTTCGCAGAATATAGGTACGCAGTAATGAATGTAAGATACAGTCAATAAGGGTTTTAATAAGGTCAAGGGCGGGGGTTTGCCGGCTGTCAGCCGTGAGTCGCCGGTTGGTGCGCCGAACTCGAGGTGAACATAATATTAAAGATTCACAATACAATTTCGGCGATCACCGACATCGCACGTACCATGTGTGGGCGAAAATATTACGTATCTTTATAAAGATTTAAGTGTGCGATATTGAAGATTGATTGTTTATAGACTATTCATTGTAATAACTAGTGAAGTGTTTTAAGTTGCAGACCAAAAGTGTATTTTATAAAAGTGAGTTTTTTTTCTACTGTATTCTTTTAAATTATGTAGGTAGTGTTTTAAGTGAAAGGGCTTTGATCTTATTTGTTTTAAAGTTTCCGCAGTTAATTAAGATATAAATATATAATTTAGCTGAGCTGAAACATAATTTGTTAAATGTAAAGTAAAAAATACGAGACAATTCATGTTTGTCTTTCCTCGAAAATAATACCTACCAGTGTAGTAAAAAGTATTACAAACTAATCTAGTTACTAGTTGAATTTATGGTTGATTTCTAATTCGGTAATTATTAGTTATTACATTGGTTATTAAAAAAGTAGTATATAAGTATAAATAGGAGGAATCATAAGTACAAAACCACATTTGCGAGTATATATCTGCTACCCGCCTATTATTGTAGATGTGTTCCAAAATGTACATGCACTTTCATTATGATCTTTGATCAGCATAATCTTCTTTAATTTCCCAAGAGTTGATTCAATTCAATATACCCACAATACAAATTCGGAAAACAAAACTATTTGATGAAATAAAATACGACAAACCCGGAAATAAATAGATGCTCGTTACTTTAACTATGAAAAAACAACCCGGAAATATAGCTATAGAATTCGACGACTTTAAAAAACACAAATTTTAACGAATTAATTCGTTCTACCTCCAATATGTCGTTTTTACAATAGAACCATGTATCTACTATACTAATAGTTTTAAATTAAAGACTAGGATTTAACTGTTCTATTCGGGTCCAGATTGGGGGTTAAGCAGAGTTGTAGGTCAATACCCACGTTTAAAAACTTTTTCTCATAAGAACTTAAACAGTGGAAACTATTTCGTTTTTTCTTCTCCTCAAATAATATCTTCTGATTTATTTCGTTGCGGGATCCCAAGACAGACATTTATGTCCCTGGGACGCTCCGGACTTCATTGTTCCGGTGTTTTCATGGTTGTGTTTACTGTACATCCTAGCTTACAGGAGTTGCAAGCGATTTTGGGAGGTTGTGGCGGGCTTGTCCCAATAAAGAAAAAAACTTAAATAACAGTTCACTGATAATGAGATACCTATTATAGCTTACATCTAAATGTTACTTGTGATATTTGCATCTAGAGTGTCGGCGAAATTATATTGTATTTACATGTGTTCAGTTTTGCTTTGAATATATTATGTTTATTAGTGCTTATTATGGTCATTTTAATTATTATGATATTCATAGTAGCTCAAGTGAAAGGGTTATATTGCTATAGTAAATAAAGTTCGCCGGTCCCATGCATTAGAGCCAGTGTATTACCCTAGACAGCATAATTTTCAATTTCCGCTGCCTGGCTTAACTAGTATGACCATATTTGTGATAATTGCATAATAGTCTATGTTGACGACCCATAATTTGAATTCGTAATAAGCAGCGGCAGACATAAACCTCAAAAACTAAAATTTGAAATGTTCGAAAAGTACTATAATGTTTTAAAGAGCAGCAATGTATTGCCGACGATTAAAATGGAAAATTACTCTTGTTTATTTGTTGTTTAAGGGTAAACTTAGATTGTACGTTTCTGTCATCAGCTTGTTAATCTCTGAATTTAATAAAAACTTTCCTAAAACTCATATTAGGTTAGGTTCCATTTCTGTGAAAATTCAGTTTACCCACTGTAGGTAATTTATTCTGTAGCGTCATACCTATTCCGCGAAGGCCTTTTTATATAATGTTGCCGGGTAACATTTACCAATAAATTTATTAGAAAAATATATTTCTTTACTTTCACGTAAATTCAGTTATTTGATCTCTTTTTCTCGGACTTTAACAGTTACCTAGAAATGTGAATGTTATTAAAAAAAAGAACAGCGAATTTTCTGCTACGCCCACGTTTTTATCCCTAAGTCCGGTATCAAATTGTAAGGAGACCGTTATCTATACCGTTACGGGACTGACCGACTTTAGTTCGTTGTGTTAAGGATGAAATTCAAACATAATTTCCAGCTACCTCCCGAACTGGAACGTTAGCGCTAAATTTTATTTTGTTGCTTTCAGATGAAGTTAATAATATCAATGATCGTGCTTATAGCAGCCATCTATCTAGGGTATAAGTTTATGCTTAGAAAACCATCGAAATTACCTGATTTAGACCTTCAAAGGTGGTGGGGTGTCGGCGATAGGACTGAACGACAAGATGATTCGATCAGACCGTTTAAGATCGACTTCAATGACAGTGTAAGTTAATTTTAATGATAGCGTTATTTGAATGTAAATTAATGAATCGTTAATACAATTTTATGTGACATATCTGTAAACTATCAGTCGGATTACCTGATGGTAAGCAATTAGCACCGCACATGGACACCTGCAACGCCAGAGGGGTAAGGAGTGCTTTGCGGATCTTTTGGAGATTTCAATAAAATTTTCGGAGATTCAAGGATTAGGGAGGGATGGGGAGAGAGGAAGTATTGGGTCTCCAGTATTTTCTTATTTATACGGTGAAACAAAACGCAGTGATTGTTTCACGCCGGTTTTCTGTGAGGCCGTAGTAGGTACCAATCCTTATTTAAAATCCTAAAACCTCACATACCCCATTGGGCAATGACTACCTCATATTTAAAAGTAGTAGTACCTTGATAACTGTTTATATTCAATTTGTAACATACCATTACGTTTATAAATACCTGTTAAATACACGTATATGTCTGTAGACAGTTAAGACATTAGTCAAATTGTAATAAGAGTCCAGTCTATTACCAAGCACTGGATACAATTCCAGACGTACTGAGAATTTCGCAATCGAAAACCCAATGCAAAGATAACTTTGTAATATTGACTATAAGTACTGACTTAGTAATGTAGGTATACACATAGTAGTGGACTTATAGTAGGCCTTTGAGTTATATTATGGCGAATCTATTTCACTTTTATAATAAAATACTTATATACACTTTGTAGAATCTAATGAAACAATCACTAAATTATTTTTACTTCGCAGATGATCGCGGACTTGAGACAAAGGTTAAAAAATAGGCGCCGCTTCACAAAACCACTTGAAGGCACACAATCGCAGTACGGAATGAACACAGATTACTTAGAAACCGTTCTGAACTATTGGACTAACGACTATAACTTCAAAGAAAGGGCAGAACTGTTGAATGCCTTCCCTCATTACAAGACCAAAATCCAGGGCTTAGACATGCATTTTATTCATGTTAAACCTAAAGTTAATGATAATAAGATTCAAATTCTGCCGCTACTTATGTTACATGGCTGGCCAAGTTCGTCCAAGGAGTTTGCTAAAGTTATACCCACTTTGACTACACCAAAACCTGGATACGATTTCGTTTTTGAAGTGATCGCTGCGGATTTGCCCGGATTTGGGTACTCTGAGGTAAGATTCTAAGAATTACTTTACGTCAATCATTTCTGGTAGGATTGAAAGGGATAGATTGGAAAATGGTTATAGGCGAAAATACAACAACATTTTACAAGCAGCATTATGAAAAGACATCACGCAAAACTCGCTCTTATTATTGACGATTTTCAAAATTTATAAACCCAAATCGTGTACTTAACGTCCGCATCCTAAGTTTCCTTCAAATGTTATTGATACAATATATTTACACTGACGTGTTATTCATTAGGTAATACCGATTCTCGACTGAAATAGTTTAGAACGGAAACACTCAAAATAAAAGTCTGTTTAATGTATTTAATCAATAGTATCTAAACTATTTTAATATGTAAATATAAATAGGAATGACGATTTGTTAAAATAATTAAATATTCTATACTATTTTTTGGCTGTGCGTACGGCTTAATATTTCATTTTGTTCGTGGAATATTTTAGTTGTTGTTGGCTATGTATGGACGACCCTTTGTTTTTTTCATTAATTTTTGCGGATTCCATTTACAAATAAAGTATTCTATTTTATTATGTATCTCTGTATGAAGAAAAAAAAACAAACAAATTGGCCTTCGTTTTTTTTGCGATGTCTTCCGTGTTAGGATTCACACATACTACTATTTCAATACAAACATTCGCGGCGCTAATTGTGTCTACAAGTATATCGTAAAACATTTCTTAGTGACCTTAGCCACAGCATTTTGTAAAAAAGAAATCGACAATAAAAAGCAAATGCGAAAATTTGCTTTTCTTCGCCCCGTCAGAACGGCGCGGGACTTGGGGTTTTATAAACTGCTGGTCATCCAGATTCCGAAATATTGGAATTGAATCGGTTATTTATTTAGGCTGTCGGTCAATAAGAAGTCATTTAACTGTTAATATACATATGTATATAGGTAGATATCACCTAAACCGTTTTTGTTTGTGGAGGAAAAAATCATCGTAAGATTTTTTCCACTCTAATTGGGAGGAGAGAGAGTGTCGGGCTCTTAACGACTAAAAGCCACCCCGTTCTCCTGCTCCAAGCCGAAGCCGCGGTATAATATTGCGCTTGACCCGCAACCCGGGCTAAAAGATAGGCTACCCAAGAAAACGCAAAGATCGAAGATCCACTTATTTAAACATATTGCATCACAAGGCTGATAGACCAAACTATAAGTAAGGACTTAAATAAGCACAATCATGCAACATTGTACAAATGTACATTTTTTGTGCTAGTAAATTAGATCCAAAGAAACTTCAACCATATTATGTATAAATCTATCATCTAAAATATTTTTACATTCCATAATTTATTACTATTATTTTGGTGAATGTACCAAAACATTTATAAATTTTGCTTTTACGCATCGTTTAATGTCAATATCAAAGATGATCTCTCTCTTTTGCATACTTATGTAATAATTATCTGAGTTATCTCGTCATGACAAAACTATTATAATTTTTTTACCACATCGCGCGTCATAACATAATAGCTCAAGAAACTGTTTTTCAAGCGTAGCGATGAGTTTAACTCTCATTTGAGTCATTTAAATAGCATTGTAAAACTTCTCATGTGGTCTAAGAAAATTACACATCATTCTTAATTTTGGTATAAGCAATGCTACTAAAAATAACGTTCTTTTAGTATCAGAAATGTGCCGAAGCGCATATTTACACATCACTATATATTAGATCTACAATCAAGGCTTCTTTTACCAGATACCAGACTCAGTGATGTCTGGAAATATTGGAAAAACCGCGGTTTATTTACCGATTCGATAATCGAGCTCAATGTGGTAAGTACTATGTTGCAATCATATCAATGTAGTTTTTTTCCTTCAGGGAACGAATAAACGAGGTCTGAACCCAGTGCAGATGGGCATTATGATGCGCAACTTGATGTTCAGGATTGGATTCACAAAGTTTTACATTCAGGGAGGAGATTGGGGCTCACAAGTTGCCACACACATGGCTACTCTTTTCCCAGAAAACGTTTTAGGGTAAAGTACAATTTTTATCTGTTACACTTCACTAGTCCGACACCGTATAGTTGAGAGACCAATCATGGAAATAGTACGATGGTTAATCATTTGCTATCTTATCTTTTACTGCTAACACTACCTACATCTACACCGGTTATTCCCCCAAAGTTAAGAAGAAAGTATAGCAACAAAATCTTTATTTTTTGCCATTTATGTTGTCATAGTCTCACCTAATCTTTGGAGGAGCAATAGCAGACTTCATTTCCGAGATTTTTTGAGAAGCAGCATCTCGTGTTCAGGACTTCATCTACCTTAATTATCATTTTTTTGCAATTTAAAAGCAAGAAAGAAGAATGATGATTTTCACGAACGTGGTTCTGAATTAATTTCTTTTAGTTGTACAACTATCAGTCAATTCATAGCATTGCGTATTTCATTGGAAGTTGCTTAAAGTTTGGCCTTGAAAACAGTGTACGGATATTCCACAATGCCTCAATTTATCACACAAAACCTGTTTATTTTCCAGATATCACTGTAACATGCCAGTATCGTCAAGGCCAATCAGCCACATCAAATTACTCATTGGGTCATTGTTCCCAAGCCTTATTGACCCAGTTGGCCATACAAGAGTGTACCCGCTGAAGAAGTATTTTAGTTACATATTGAGGGAAAGTGGATATTTCCATATTCAGGCAACTAAACCGGATACTGTAGGTAAGGGTGGCTGAGTTATATAAATTCATTAAAACTATTATCTACACAGTAATTGAAGTTTAGGTAAGACTGGTAGAACACATTAGGTATAATAAGTTTGTCTAAAGAGAAATAATTTTAATTATAACTGTGAACAAGATGTATATTATAAAACTTTTCGGGATTGACGTGGTGCCAAAAAACAATATTTTTACGTACAATGAGGAGCATCGTGGTTGATCTTACTTATTCCTGAACGATACAAAGGCTCGAGATTCTATAAACAAAAATATTTTATGCAAATGGTAATGCGTTGTGTGACAAAATGGGAAAATGTGACTCGAGTGCCGGAGTAACGTTCTGTGAGTAAACAAATGAGACCTCGGCCATGATCTTGGGCAACACAACATTGCAGACTGTATATTAATAAACTACACAATAACTACTGCTTTTCAATTCAAGTTCATGTGATGACAGTTATAAAGAACTGGATGTTTTATTTCTCTATGCGATGTTTTAATAAATTGATAATTGCCATTAGAGAGCAAATACCAATTGATTGGATACGGCAAAATATTAACGACAACTATTACGAACACGCATCGACAATGGGTCGTATTAAATACTGTAAGTCCCATTTTTTAACAAGCATATTCGAAATTACAAACAGAAATATTGAACAGCACGCTAAATTTGCTCATCAAAAAAAAGCAATTACGATGTACCTACTCCACTGTTAGATCTTTAAAGCTAAACTGTTATGATAACTTAAAGTAATTTTGTTTCTCTTTATTCTAACCTAACCTAAAATCCCGTTGTAAACTGTAAAGAATGTGCAGTTAAAAATTCCCTTTTTAATGTTGCTACCTGTCTACTTTGGTTGACGTATTATTTAGAGGAGACTTGCTTTACTGTTGTTTCAGGTGTTGGTCTCACGGACTCGCCGTCTGGTTTAGCGGCTTATTTGATGGAAAAAATGGCCATGTGCAGTAACAGTGAGCAGTTGGACACGCCGCACGGGGGTCTAGCTAACCTTGACCTCAACGATGTCCTGGACACAGTGACTATCATGTGGGCTAACGAGTGCGTCGTGACCGCCACGAGATTGTATGCAGAAAGCTTCTTTTATCCAGAAATAAATATACTACAAGAGTAAGTTTTTTTTCGATGCTATTATTCACTTGCAGGCTGCTCGGCTCCTAGATAACGTAGCGCGCGCGTTTTATAGCCTTCCTCAATAAATAGACTAACAAACACAAAAATAATTATAAAATTCAAACAACTCTACAGCTTTATAATATTATTATAGAGTTATTTTTATAATGGCCTCATAAGAATTGTTTTCGACGTTTGTCTTGTACACAGTAAAATGAAGTGGCTACACAATTCGAGGTTGACAGGTTTCAAGCTTAATTATTTTTGTTTTTTTTTTATAATGTGAAATATTTTTTACAAAAACATTTTAATTGTGATAAGATTTTGCTTTGCGTAGAAAATTGCGCATAAATAATTAGTTTTAAAATACTGCCAAACATAAGCCGAATTTGACACAGATTAAAAACTATCAATCAGTTGTTTTCATTCCTCTGCTATTTGGAATTCGTAATTTTCAAGGATATGTTACTACGATGTAAACAAGTAATGACAATAAACATTGTTATACATATGACTACTATATCCACGGTGTGTAGTTGTTGACAAGATATAGAACCAGTGATAACGGTTTTATTTTTTTTAAGAAAAAATAGTACCATGACATGAAACTACATGCCAGTGAAGTGACATCAAAAAAATTTGGTTTATAATGCACTATAATAAAACCCATGTTTCTTATTACTATGTGTATTTTCTTTTACAGTATACCTACGGAAGTTCCAACAGCTGCCGTAAAATTCCTATACGAAGTTGTCTACCAACCCGACTGGCTAATAAGAGATAAGTTCCCGAATTTAGTCAGATCAACAATTTTCGATTTCGGAGGACATTTTGCCGCGTTACACACGCCCAAGGAATTCGCGGACGACATATTCGCATCCGCTGAGGCTTTCCTCGAATTCCATAAAAAAGAAAAATAATGTTACGTACTCATTAGGTTTTACAGAGCCATCTTGTAACAAATTCGATCATATTTTTTTCTAAAGCAATGGTTTTTAGGAAAATATTTTATTTATTGTCTGGCTTATACATACACAGTCATTTAATATTATTTGATAATTAAATTAATTTAATAAACATAGTATGACAACATATTTTGAGAAAAAGTATTTATATTTTTTAAGCCATTAGTGACTCATTACGTCATGTAACTGATTGTACCTTCGTGTCAAAGCTTAAAGTATTATTGTATTATAACTTTGATTTCAAATTTTACAGTATAAAAGCAATGTTAGCATTTAAAAGTCATTTAAAGCAGATTTTATAATTATTTTTACTTACAGAAATTACATTTTAAATAAAAATTCGGTATACTAAACCGAATATTTTTTCATAAATATAAATAAATATCTTTGATCCCGCATGAAAAAAGTTGTTTTAAATATTAATACTTAAAAATAGACTTTTAAATTATTTTATTGCAAAATAATGTACATACTAGTCATAAGAGCATGAACTTTTGTAATTTAAAAGTATTTTATAAAAAACTGTAAATATTTTAGTAATCTTTCATATAGTTGTAATGTAAAATTTACATAAAATTTTAACATCATAAATATCAATTCTAAGAACAAATAGTTCTGTAGCCTTAAAAATGTTGTACACATAAATTGATGGAAGGTTTGTTTAATTATGTAAATTTATATAGTGGTTATTTCTGAAATTTAAAATATTATCTTTGTTTGGCTATCAGATCTCTATTATAAACGAGAATTGTAAAAAAGATAAATAGTTTTCCGGTACATTAGGGGTCTATTTTAAAAGGGTCAGCCTGGGCATACAGTCATCCGATAAAGAAAAGTTTTAAATTGTATACTATTATTATTACCCTATCAACCCCTTCGGGGATAAACTATGCCGTACTCAGAGGCATACAATGGTCACTAAAACTATTTCTTACTCACGATTTTGTTCCGAAAACAATAGCTAAGCACTGGGTCAAATTGACTATTTTATGACTCTGAGTACGGCGGTAACAGGTGTCTAGTTATGCAAATTTTTATGACTGGTGGTTTTCTTAATTTAAATTTTTAAACATTTACGGACTGTTGGTTAAATGATTAATGTTTTCAAATAACCTTGTATGGTATTAGAAAGACTGTTAGCTGTCAAGTATTTAAGGATAAAGAGGAGTAGGTATTTTAAAAATAAAATGATACAAACGAAGTTCAACTGTTTTATAAGAAGAGAAGTTCAAAATTTAAATGCTTTTTCAAAAGCAAGCCCATTCGAAAAATTTTAAACCCAAAAATAATGTAGTATATAATTTTTAAAAGCAAGTAGGTATAACCTCCTTTTTGATTTCTTTTAACAGTTTTTGAGATCTTTTTTCTTGGCTTTATAAGTAGTTCACTAATTCCATATACCATTAAATCTTAACTAATATATAGGTCTTTTCTAAAAACTTTATAATTGATCATATAATTTTAGAACTAGTAAGAGAACCTATAAAATATGGAACTAGTGAAAAGCGAGTGCACCAGCTTTTACACTTTTATAATACATCAGAAAATAAACAGTTTAACGTTACGTTTTACGTTTTTACCTAAAACTGTTTATAAAAAATAATATCATTGTTACATACCTTCTTTAGGTAAATACGGCACGCTATCATCTAATAAGGTGAACTAAGAAAATAAGTAACAATTGTGAAAATCAAAGCCATGTTTATAATTTTATTTTATGAGCTAAACTTCATAATCCATACTAAATTGTCTTCATAATAAAATATTCTTTTACACTGCAGTTATAGTGCCAAAGAATATTTAAATAATTAATAATAACTAGGGTGTCAACAGCAGTAGCTGGTTATTGCCCTTGATAATTTTAGCAAAAATGCACAATGATCAAATTATTTTTGTACTTATCGTAAGAGTTGAAAAAATGCATGTTATCATATAATTATTATTGAAAAAGAAACTTGAATTTTTAACTTACAACTTGTTTTATTTTGATCAATAATATGAACATATGAATATAATGAATGTAAGCGGTTTATTCTATGGGGTATGGGGATCAGGTGCTATGATTCGGCGTGTGAGTGAGGTTACCGGAGGCCTAATTTTTGCCATCGCTAAATTTCCGAAACCCTAATCTCCAAAAGACCGGCAACGGACTCGTAACTACTCAGGTGTTGATGATTGTTTATCATCGGGGAATCCGTGACCTCGTTTGGAAAAATGAAGGATTTCCAGCGTTGGGGATCCCACCAAAGACCCAATCCCCAAGATTAGGGATGGAGGAGGACGCTAACTTAATTTACACGATGAAAAAAAGACGCAAGTATTGTTTAATGTGATTATTCTGTAAGGCAGTGGTATCACTTGATGCGCACCATGTCTACACATAAGTTCCAATATCCTACCCTATCCTACTCTTCCTACTATCCTAATTTCTACTATCCTACTACTTCCTACTAATATTATAAATGTGACTTTTTGAGAGAATAAATGGATCTATGTTTGTTATTATTTCACGCAAGAAACGGCAGGACCGATTTAGTTTGTAAATAGGTGATACCCCGGATTAACACAAATGCTACTTTTTATCTCAGATAATAGGGTTGAAACTGTATAAGTAATTCCAAGTGCCAGTCTATCATGATGTCGCTTTCTAAGGTAGTTCCAGACGTACAACGAGTTTATACTTGTTCTGCAAAACTTTATGTGTAGCTATATGTATAAACATATTTGTCTATCGATGTGCATCATTAATTGCCCGTGACAGTGCTAGGCAATCTACATCAAAGTTAAAGTTAATTTTTTTTTTTCAACTTAACCATAATTAGGTATTTTTGGAACGTCAAAATATAATAGTAGTCTGTCAGTCTGTTCGTCAGGGAAGCTAGGTGGAATGGAGAAGAATGAACAAGTAATTTCATTGTTACTCTTTTGAAAATAATACTAATTTGTTTTAAAATTTCACTAATACATCTATGCACACAAGAGGGACAACAGGCTGGGCGATCACTGTTCAAACGATTTCGATTCACCAAATACCTATGTAATATTACCCTGATCTTTGCCCGTAAGTAAAAATAACGGTTAACGCATAATTTTCTACCTTTAACATCATTGCGCTTCATCCAAAGGCGACTATATACGAGTACATGTAAGTGGGTAACTTTGAAAAATAATAATACAGGGTGTTATTTTGAACGAGGGTCATATTCAAGGACCCGAATCTGGTGCTCAAATAAAACTACTTTTTCCATAAGACCGAAATAGAAATCTCAAAAAAATTTTACGTCTCCTTGCAAAGGGATCAATCTTTTGTTACGATTGGTTCTGGAAATAAATTTATTTTTAAGTTTTCCATATTGGTCCCATGGAAAAAGTAGTTTTTTTTTGAACACCAGAATCGTGTCCTTGTATTATGTCCCTCGTTCAAATTAACACGGATTATACAGTAATCCAACGGTGAAGTTAAGTGCTCGTTCTAAAATATAAATTTGTATGCATATATGAAATATCTATTAACTATAAAAGAGAACACCTTTTCCTTTAAAATTTGTTTGCATAAAATGTTAGTTTGACATACCTGTTTTTCTTCAATAAATTCTTCAATTTCTCGTGGCGCGAAGAAGCCAGGCACCATAAAATCCTTTTTTGGACTAAATTGTTCTATCTTCATCCTTCCAGCTAGATTGAACCGTTCTCCAGCATAGTAAAGGTTTCTGAAATAGAAAATGGATTTTATTATACTATAGTACAAATTATAAAAAGGAAATAAGTATTATTTTTTGTATTTAAAAAAACGTTGCCCAGCACAAGGTTTTCTACTGAGTCGTGGGTGCGTGGGTGCGTTTACAAGCATACAAATTCTTAAAGGTAGGTTAAAAAGCAACCGCGCCAACGAAATGTTTCGATATTTCACAGAACATACGATATAAGTCATGTTAATATACTATTTGGCACTTTAGAACGAAAATTTTGAGAGTACATGTACTTAATTGCTTTGGGCATGAAAAAAGAAATTAGTTATTGCCAATTCTTGACATGTAAAATTTATTGACAATCTTAAACAAGTCGTTATCTTATAAAACAAAAATGTATACTAAAAAGAGAAGGTTCTTATAAAAGATATAATTTGAAAAGTAGAGAGGAAACCGTGTAAATGCAACCGATTCGTAGCAGTATCCGTAGCAGGGGTGGGCGGGCAGTATTGTATAGCTAGTATTGTTTTCTACGTTTTAGTTTTCAACAAATATTATATTACCTGTTACTTATCAATCGGCCCTTTATATTTGTTAATTGTCCTTCATTGAGGGTTGGGAACTTGTGGTATAGGTAGAGGCTGGCTGCAAATTTCAGGAAGGCGTCTCCCAAAGTCTCCGCTCGTTCCAAATTGAATGTGTCATGAGACTTGATTGTTGTTAACGCTGCTAGTATGTCTCGAAGCTCAGGACTTGTGCCCTTTGTCTTCGTTTTGAGGATCTTAATCTCATCGTTGTATCTAAAATATTCAAATATAGTATTAATGATTATAACTAGTAAGAGCAAACACAGTGAATATGGAACCATATGTTTTGTTAATAAGGTTGTCTTTTCTGGAAGGCGTTGAAGTTTTAGTCAGAGGAAAGCGACTTTCTCCTTATTCTATCTCTTATACAACTATATCGGAATGATAATTCAATATTAATCATACAAAGCTGACTGTAACAATTATAAATGGATCGTTGTACAAAATGAAAGTCACAAATTATATGGTTACATTTTTATCATTGACACAAACAAGTCAACGTTACCAAGTATTTGGTCAACAATGTTCGTTAATAGTTTTTGGTCTGTATTGCCTTGTAATAACGTCGAAAGTATGTTGAACACGCGTTTTATTTACATTTACTGGTAATAAGTGACCGATATTTCAACACATCATTGCACTCATGATAGCAAATAACTTTCCCAAAGGAACTCTTTTCTTATTTCTATAACAAACTTTACGCGCTCGCCGTTCGATGCCCGATTTGCTATTAGCCGAAGATTATATAAAAACTAAGTTCTACTATTAGCGACAATGACCCGCGCGCCCGCGTTGGACATTTGCACGCTCGCCAGTATTTTTTTTTAATACTTAGTTATAAAAATAAAACTTATGCGTAAGTTCAGAAAAAAGTTTCTTTGGAAAAGTTGTTTGGTATCATGAGTACAATCACGTGTTTAAATATCGGTCACTTATTACCAGTGACCATATACATAAACTAGCAAACCCAGCCACGCGTTGCTTCGGCTAAGGTTCTTGTCATATTACATATGGACAAATAATTTGCAATAAAATAATATTGTGATTATAAATCGCGATGTAAGCTATCATATCTTTCAAGTTGGATCAAAATGTACACGGGATGCAAATCAAATTTAAAATCGGTTTCGTAGTTTAGGAGTCCATCGCAAACAAACACGTGACACGAAATTTTTATACTATATAAAAAGATATACCAAAATACATACGCAGCTGGTGCAGCAGATATAGCGGCGGAACGGAACACAGTTTGAGCAGGAGGTCGCACGTCGTAATGCGAAGTGGTTATTAATGGCGCTGACACGAACTCGTCGTAACACTCCACATCCATCACCGTCACATTCGATAGATTTCGGTCTATATCTATTGGCTCCATTTTATCCTGTTAATCAAAATTGCATGTACAAATTGTAGACTCTATCCTGAATATGAATCCCGTTAGTAGCTCGAAAGTGGTCGAGCATCATTGAATAGATGAATAAGACTTGAATAGATGAATAAGACCACTTTAATATTCTTTTTATTTAAGTATGCTTTTTGTTTTAACAATAAGCAAAAGCATCAAATTTTAAACAGCATTTTACTAATTATTGCTTTTTAAACCTTTTGAACCTTATATGAATTTCTGTTATTAGAAAAAAGGTTTTTTTTTCCTTTAGCAATATACAAAAATGACTGCACGGCCACTGGCTGCCGTGCAACGTGTCGCGAACAACAACTCTTTGTGTGACCGAAAAATTGTTGTTCTGGGTCTGGGTGCCACGTGTATGTGAAATTGTATGTTTCTAACCGCACCCACGACACAGAAGAAAATCCTAGTGTGGCGAAACGTTATCATGTCAAAAAAAAACTAAAATAACTTGTAAAATGTTTTGTTTTGGGAACGATAAGTGCAACAGTACTATGAAAAACCGTATTTATTTTGAATATAAAAATTACTCACATCCCAGGGAAAGTCTTTGTTCAGTCTTTTCTGTTGCAAATGGTATAAGCTCTCCTTCATAGAAAGTATGTTCGGACGTCTTCCGCTTTCATCGTCTACAGGATTGTTTATCCTATAGTAAAAAAAAATGGAATTAGTTCACACAGTTTGGTTGTTCTCAGCGATCGAGTTTAGTACGCATTTAGAAACTCATTTGCATTTTACTTCATCAAAATCCTTCATCAAACCTGAAAAGCATAAATCAAAACGGTTGCTTACGGCGAGTTGGCAATTTTAAACTTTTATAATCCAGGTTTCCTTACGATGTTCCTCACCTTCGCCTTCACCGTATGTTAGTCATGTCTTGTTAGTAGTAATCTTGGAAGGATATATAATTATGAAAAAATACTTTATTGTTTGGTAGGATTCACATTTTGCACTTTCATATTTGAGAGGTGGGGCCTTAACTTCTAAGTATTCACGATGGCGTTCTCCGATAGTTAGGCGATAGGGCCTCGCAAAAAACCGGCGAAACAACGACAACGTTATGTTTCGCCGTGTGAATGAGATCACCGAAGGCCCTATCCTTCTCCCCCCAAATCTCCAAAAACCCAAATCCCCAAAAGGACGGCAACGTAATCGTAACTACTTTGGTGATGCGGGTGTCCATGGGCGGCACTGATTGCTTACTTACCATCAGGTAATAAGTATAAGAAGAAAGAAAGAAAGAAGATTATTAAATATCGTCTCCCTTAAGCAGTGAAAAGTAAAAAATATGATACCGCAAAACAGAAAATTATAGGGCCTTTGATTCGTTCCTAAGAAACATTTGTCTATTTTCACAGTATGAGAAAGTTAAATGTAGGTATAAAATAAGGTTACCTATCAAACGAAGCGACCGTAGTTGGTTCCTCAACTTGAGCTAGCAGGGAATTAGTAGCAATCTGAATGTGAGTTTCAATTGGAAGCCAATCTTGAGCTGTAAATAAGTACAAAAACTAAGACATGGGTTTCAATTAATATTCTTCAGCGCGAGTGGCCCTAATACGACTAATTTAAATCTGTTATATGTTTTTATAATAACTATCGTGAGACATACTAAATTAACTAAAAAATCGCGGGTTACTCACTCAGTAGGCTGCGCGACGTCGCCGCGTCCGCCCACGCTGCTCATGAGGAAGAACCTTTCTGTGGTTCGAAACTAGTAGAGCTTTTCTCAAAAACAAACGTGTGTAACCCGCGATTTTTTAGTTAATTCTGTTATATGTTACTATAAACTTTCATTGGATTTTAGACTTTGCATTGTTAAAACAATAAAGTCGAAAATTTACTGTAGAAAAGCAGTATATATATTAACCAGCTGACCACTACGCACATATTTATTTTTGAAACATGTACCAATTTAAACGCATACTTACTATTTTTGCGTACTGGAGTACCATATCCTGTGTCATCCGCAATTTCCGAGAGTAGTTCGTGTGATACCAATAACATGAAGACTCTGAAATACAAATTATACATTTGTCATTTGTCTCGGAGCAATAGATAAAAACAGCCATGACATCTATACAGGACAACGTGAGCCAACATACATAGTATATCTATATAGGTAAGTGTGGGAGAGTAAGGCTTCGGCTCGAAAACACAGAAAACCGGCGTGAAACAACCACAGCATGTGAGTGAGGCTACCGGAGGCCCAATGCCTGCCCCTCCACACATCCGTTCCTAATCTTTAAATATCTCGTAACTCTTTTGCTGTTGCCGGCGTCCATGGCCGTTAATTGCTTACCATCAGGTACGGTAACAAGTCTGCTCGTTAGCCGACCTATACCATAAAAAAAACACAAGAGACCGATTGACAGACAGATTTATTTCTTTTTTTTTATACTAATAAACTTAACAAAAAAAATCTAGGAGTAACCTGTGTATAATGCTGGGTAGCATGATAGCTTTGTACCACAAAACTCCTGGGTATTCGTATTTGACACAGAATTCAGCTACAAATACTTCTGCGAAGCCTCTATTTGTTTTATCGTCGCCTTGAGAAGCAGACACGAGCTTCTTCTGTTTGTCCGTCAAGGCGTTTATTGTAGCCGCTCTAGGCAGTAAACAGTTCATCCTTGAACTTATATTTTTTACCTAATAAAACAAAGAATTCATAAAAAACTTTCTGAAGAAGGGAAAGGAAAAAACTATAACAATTGGGTAATTTCCTAGGTCAAAAATAAATTAATCCGATGTTTCAATACAAAAAAATATTGAAAACTAACTATACTTTTATTCATCGATCGATCGATACACCAAGTTGTAGATTTTTTTAGCTAATTATTGTGAAATAAGTATGCCATTTGACGCAAAAATGTTATGAAGTCATAGCTCAGTTTTTCATACAAATTTCATAGAAAAGTATCGTTTTTGACGTTTGGATAAAAGTATTGAATTTGACTAGTTGGAAACTACCGTATTTGTGGATCACACATAGAGTATAAATGCTTATTATTTGTTTGTTATTTATCATCCCAACATAATTATTTATTTCGCCTGCAGATTCTGATCTAGTAAAAACAAGGCCATTTTTACACTACATCTCAATCTGTTGTTACTTAATTTTTTCCTTAACAGATAACAGCTTATAATAGTAATACTAAGCAAATATTCGTTTCTTGAGGGGGAATATTATCAAATGGTTTTTCTTGCCTAGGGTGGGGCGAGAGGGAGTGTCAAAATCTTACTGGCTAGGCTAATCATAACTTCGTTCCTTCGCCTTCTCTAGGCTGGAGCCGGTACATTATTATTGAACATCAGCCCTATTGGGTCGCCGTGGTTGCGGGTTAAGCGCAATGAGTCACCGCGGCCTCGGCCCAGAGCAGGAGAAGGAACGGGGGTGTTTTTAGTCAGTAAGAGTCTGACACTCTGTCTCGCCTTACCCTGCGCGGGAGAAGTCATTTGATGATTTTCCACTGACAAAAAAAAAGAAAAGCCCTATTGGGTCCCATCTGTGATAGTCTGTTAGCGCCGTACACTCAAGTCTGGTTTTGTCGATAGAAAAATCATGTACAAAATTACTTACTTCTAGTAAAGGCTGCGACTTTTCACCGATAACTTCTAACTTATATTTGTCAGCATAATAATCGGCGAACGTTAAATATGAATCCGAGTCGAATTGTGACTGCGGCGTCATGTATTCGAGGACGCGAGATACTATGTACCTGTGAATACGTCAATAAAATATTTTTAAAACAATATTAGAATTGTGTTTGAATTTTATTAATATGTGTACTAATATTATAAAGAGGTAAATTTTTTTATTTGTAAGTTTGTAAGTAGCGAGTATATAATCTTTGGAACCGCTGGTACAATGTTCCCGAGTGCTATGGGCTATAAAACATTACGCTACAATTAAGTGGAGCCCAAGAGCGAGTGCAACCGCGCAATAGTGGCTAGTAAGAAAAAAAGGGAAATACGTTCAGAATCAGGCATTACTTTACGGAAATATATTACCTATACTAAACTTATAAAAGTAGCAGATAAAAAAATATTTAGTTTCAATACGATTATTGCAGCGTGGGCCAATGTGGTTTGTAGCACTGCCCCCTTCCCCCGGGAATGCGCATGCGCAAAAATCATTAACTTCGTATCAGAAACAAAACTAGATAATTTCCTTGTACTTAGTATTAGTTCAGTATTGATTTCAACAAAGTAACGTCTGATTCTATTCTGTATACATTTAGGGATGCAGACTAGACGTGAATTTAGGCGAATATTCATTGCAAAAAATGGTCACATCAATCAGTATACTCAGTACATTAGCGAGTTAAACACTGGAAGTGAAGTCGCCGTGGTCGAAATCGATCAGAACAAAAGTGACACTAACGCAAGAAGTATTTTTAGTAAGTAAGTGTGGGAGTGCCAAGCTTGAGCACGAATGGGTCTCACGGCCTCACAAAATACCAGCGTGAAACAACCACAGCGTCATATTTCGCCGTGTGAGTGAGGTTAGCGGAGGCCCAATCCCGGCCCAATCCCGCCCCTTCCCCTATCCCTTCCCGATCCTCATATTCGCAACCCGTATCCCCAAAATGCCGGCAACGCACTCGTAACTCCTTTAGTGTTGCGGGTGTTTATGGGCGGCGCCGATTGCTTACCTGATGGTAATCCGTCTGCTCGTTTTCCAACTTTACCATAAAAAAGTTATTATATATAAAAAACACAAATAACTTCTTCAACACGTGATGGTATAATTGTAGTAAAACGACTCACCTATCCGGTAGAACCCTATACCACGGCGTCACCACACAGTCCTTGTAATTCTCTGGTGTTACATTTATATTAAGTCTTTCCTGCAAAGTAAAACTTAAATTGATTTAAGGAGACACTTGACGTTAAAAAGTTTTACAATAGAATTTGATTGTTAAACCAGAACTTTCATTAATAGATTTTTAAATTTAATACAAAATAGTAAGGTTGAAAATCAATGAAAATTTCACGACCATAGCAACCGATTTCTATGGAGCCCGCGAATCTATTGGGGCGTCCATAAATTACGTGAGGTGTTTTTTTTTTAATTTTCTGCCCCTCCCCCCCCCCTGGTGAGATGTCGTGAGATTTTATTCAACCCACTCCCCCATCCCCGAATTACACGTGAGATTTTTCAAAATGTGAGTTCCTTACGTAAACGCGTTGGATTGTTATTGTAAAAAGAAAAAACTAATTTGCATCCTCCTTTTATTATTAAATTATCTTAATTGTACTACGATGACGCTTAAGATAAAATCTTAAGCATGTACAATCTGGATTAAATAGACCAAAATAGTATAATTTTTATTTGTTTTAATTAGAAACAAAACTGCGTGATATTTGCCGAGACCTCTCTCTCCAACGTAAGATTAGATGAAATTTGACTCAACCCCCTCCACCCCTTAAACACCTCACGTAATTTATGGACGCCCCCTTGTAAGAATTCGTGCGAGGATAAGTTATCAACGTGTATTACTTCTTTCATATTCATTTAAGTGTGGGAGAGTCATGCTTCGGCATGGCCGGTGTGATATTACGGCCTCACAGTAAACCGGCGTGAAACAATCACAATGTCGTGTGAGTAAAGTTACCGGAGGCCCATTCCTTCCCATCTTTCTCCTCCCCAAACCCTTAATCTCTACAACCCTATTCCCAAAAATGTCGTACAACGTACTCGTAAACAACGACAAACGTGCACAAGGATTATTACCTGATGGTAAGCAATCGGCGCTGTCCATAGACATGCGCAACACCGGCGGAATTATGAAATGCGGTTGGTCTTTTGGGAATTGGAGTTTCGGAGGTTTAGATATTGGAGAAGGGGAAGAATGATAATTCCAGGTTTCGGAGATTAAAAAAAAAAAAAATACCTCATAAGAAGTTGGTTGGACTGGTGCTATTTCATCATGTGTGGTCATCACATTCCAATCTATATCGTAACCATTATTTTCTTTCACGGGTACAACGTACATACAATTAACTTCGCCCTCAAACGCTATGAACTTTTTTGCAATTGCTAGTACTTGCTCGAATAGGAAATAATGGAATCTGAAAATAAAGTATTATAAATTTATTTAAAGATTGGTTGATAGATTTTGTTATGGTTTCCAAATTGGACTCTAAGACTATCGCTTTAAGACTGAAAGTGTCCTGACCATCGACTTCGAATGATTAAGATTTTGAACTGTGTCTGCTTTTTCATGAGTAAAATAAAAATAAAATGTTGTTAAAAAAAACTTACTGTTTAACCAACTCGAACATAGCGTCATTGAGTTTGATGACAGCGTAATTGACTTCAATGGAAGTCGCGATCTCTCCGACTGTCATGAACATTGGAAATTCGCACAGTGTGGGCAAAGGGTTATGGGTGAGGAAACCATACCCCTCACCACGTTGCAGAAGTTTATACAGAGCATTTTCTCGCGTATCCTTGGGTTCCGCGAACGCAATCCTTGATTTTATAATGTGAAGATAGTAAACTTCGCCATCCAGTACGACGTTCAGAAGCATTGGGAACTGAAAATTATTATTCTTATGTGAGCTTGCCATCTTTGCCATAAATATTATACTATATACCAGATCATCATTATTTTTATAAACATGTTTTATATCCGAGATTACTTATACTAAGCCCCACAGAACATTTTGCACGATTTGTCTGCGGGAGTTCTCTAATTTTAGAGAAAAAATCATCACATTAGAAAGAAAGATAGAAGAAGAAGAAGAAAGAAAAGGAATCCGTATATTAACACAGTGTTATCAGCAATACTTTTACAAATAAAAAAATAACGTTTTGTCAGATAAGAGTGCTAAATCTGATTAGTCAGCAAGAATATGACACTTTCCAACCAGGGCAAGAGAAATAATTTAGACACCCGGATTTATTAGTGTCACCCGGTTTCTGAAAGGCTTGTCAACGCTAAAATTAACTAATCTCCTGTTAAATCTCTTGTCAAGTCATCTGATTGGTTGTTGATAATTCAGTCATTCAATCAGATGACTTGACAAGAAATTAAATTGATTTTAACATTGATCGGCCTTTCGGAAACCGGGTGTGTGTCTCGGTTTAATGTGTCTTTTAGTCGGCTCATAAGATATTCGCGAAAAATGGAGTCGCAGTGATGACTTATGTATTTTACTTTGCCGATATCACACAGCATGGTTAAATTAGCAAGCATATATTTTTATGTGTGATTTATCGCCAGTTTATATGTTCATACGAGTACCCAATGAATGTATTTGGCACATAACATACATGTTACGTTATTTTTGCAAATTTATCTGGCACGCAGTGTGAAACAGACCCTAAGTAGGTGTTTTTTTTTTGTGAGGGGAAAATCATTAAATGACTTCTCCCGCCCAGGGCCGGGCAGGAGGGAGTGTCAGACTCTTACTGACTAAAAACCCCCCTGTTCCTTCTCCTGCTCTGTGCCGAGGTCGCGGTGCCTCATTGCGCTTACCCCGCAACCCCGGCTGAACATCAGCCCTTTAGGGCCCCGTCTGTGGTGGTCGAATGGCTCTTTGAGGCGCGCGCGGAACGCTACGCGCCGTACGCTCGGGCCTGGTTCTGGTCGGGCGGCGAGCTGCCCTTACTCGCCGAACCCTAAGTAGGTGTGATGTTTCATTGTTTTTAACATAGATACCTGTATTCTGTGTTTCCTGACTCGTTTCTTTGTTCCTGGATGGGGTATCTCAGGGTCGTCGCGCACCGCATCGTCATCGCGCCAATTTAGGAAGCAAGTTTTTACTTCAACGTCGTCGAAATTCACCGCACTGTAACGTAATTCTTTTATTAATTTTTTGTACATTGCCCTACACTAGGTTTTGTTCTTCTGTTGTAAGTTCGATTATAAACATAAAGGTTGACATAATGGGTCGCCTCGACCAAGGTGATTCCATGGCCTCACAGAACAGAAACAACGCTTTTGTGATTCGCAAATAAGACTAAGGTTAAAGGAGGACTAGTCCGTCCAAACCTTATTTCATTTTTCAATCCTCAAAGTTCTAACAACCTCCAAAAAGCCAGTAACGCACTTGCTACTCCTGTGATGATGCGGGTATCCACAACCGTACTAATAACTGACATCTTTATAGGATGATGAAAATAAGCAATATAGGTAGGTACATACGTGTATCGGACAGGCAGTAGGGTTAGAGCATCGAGTTCTCCTGCTTCATACAACAACTTGCAAGCGTTAAGTGCAGCAGATCTCTTTGCGGCCTTCAAGCTGGATAAAGGCAATCCCTGGGGAAAATCAAGTATTTGAAAAAGGGACATAAATACGGCAAAATGAATTGGGGATATCCAGTCGTGCTAGATAAGAAAGATTCCTCTGTAAGAGCAAGCCTGCGGACGGTGAACGAGAGAAGAGCATCGCCCGACCTAACCAAACCCACAAGCACTGCACGGCACTTCCAATACTCGGCCGAGGTTGTGAGTGCAAGCCCGATGAACTAAATACCGCACAGCCCAGCTCAAATCATCAAAGTCTGACCCTTATCTCTCTTGACCTGTCCAAGGCGGGACAAGTCGATGGGTGATTTTTATAAAGGGGTTAATGCTATTGCTAGGGGTGGATATTTACGGAGTAACTTTAAAGTGTTAGAGCACTGATTAAGTAAAGGTTAAGTTTCGGGTGTTGTGAAACCTTCCATTTTGCGAATTTCATAACTTTTGGGCACTCCGCCGACAATCAAATGCGCAAATATTTATAAGCTTTAGAGGAGTGCGGAGTTTTGGATTGCGTTGCGCCTTGTGAGTGAGCTTACCGGAGGCTCAATACTCCTTTCGCCCTTATCCACAAATACTCGTTTCCTAGCTCCAAAAAGCCGACAACGCATTTGCAAGTCCTCTGGTGTCGCAATTGTCGATCGGCATCTTCATACAGGTGATCAGAATGCACATTTACCTAATACTAAATACTATAAAAATGTAAGTGAAGCATACCTTTATTTCTTCTTTGATAGGACAAGCGATGGGCATTACAATCGTGACAAGTTTTCGAATAACACCGTCATTGCCTGTGACGTTTTCTTGAATCCACATCGGTGTAATAACAGTGAACTGATCGTGTGGTAGTACTGAGCAATATCTATTCAGTAAACTTATTGCCGAAACTGCAGACAAACGAGCTGGAAAACAAATGTTTAGTATAAACCTAAACTTTAAAAATTACTGCACGTTTGGCGTAGACTCTGCTGTTCATCTGTCACGAGTTTGAATACGGCACAGAACAACACTTTGTGTGATTCACAGATTATTGTGCCGGGTCTGGACGGCTTGTATGTTTGTAAATGCTTGGGGAATGTGTGGAGTTTATTTGTCAGAGGCGAAATAAGTTTCTTTGAAAGAAAGAACAACCATTTACTGGTTTATTTTAGGCACCAGGCACAACGCTCCAAAATATGCATGGAAACAAACCGCGTCAAGCGTGCAGTTTTGGTTTTGGGTTTTGGTCAACAGGCTATCGTGCAACAAGTCGAAGGTTCTATACATCCAAAAATGATTTTATGATTTACAAATTTTTCTTTCGGGTCCGAATGTGCTGTGTGTGAAAAAAATGTTTTGTAAGCGTACCTACATGTTTACCTACGTTTGGTTAGGTAATTTTAGAAACAGAGGAAAAATGTAGAGGTTGGCAAACGTTTTAAATAATAAGTTTTGTTATTAATAATTGTTACTACTCATTGATAAAAACTGTTTTTTTTACGATTATGTTTTATAATACTATAATCTTACTAATAATATAAACGTTAAATTGGCAATGTATGGGTGTATTTTTGTTATTCTTTCATCCCAAAAAGGCTGGACGGATTCGGTTGCTTTTTAGTATGTAGATAGTTGACACCCTGGATTAACACATAGGCTGCTTTTAATCAACATACCACGCAGGTAAAGCCGCGGGCGGATGCTAGTATTATTATAATATTGTTAACTTACCCCCATGCGGTGTAACAAAAGGCGGCACATCTTCGTCCTTATACAGTTGCCGATCAATGTCGTCTGTAGTCGGTTCGATACGATCGTCACAGTTCCCAACAAGTATCTGAAAATTTTATTTCAATCAGTTATCAAAAAGTGCAGTTATTATCTACTCATCCTGCTTTTATTCTATACTAGCCACTTTTCACTCTACTTTTCTAATGTTATCTTTCAAAAGAACCTACTGCTGAACATAACGAATACAACAAAATATGAATTGGCAAATCATTAATTGGTCTAGGCGTTTTTGAGTTATGCGCTTACAAATTGCTATTCATTTTTATATTATTGTAGCGGTATTGTCATAATAAAAAACAATTATATTTCGAATTTTTATACAATAATATTAAAAACTATGGAGTTTCTTGCTCGTTCTTCTCCATTCGAATCTACACATACTGACTGACAGCCTATATCCTATTTTATTGTCGTTTCAAAAGTTTCTGTTTATGGGTTAGTTCGGATTTTGATTCACTTTCATTGTTTGATTTGATGCAATTATTAATTGCTCATAGAACAATTTTGAGAAATGAAAATATAACGTAATCACGTAGGTACTTACTTTATTTGTAGAAAGTTATCGTAAAGAATTTTTTAATACATATAAAACGTATTAAATGTTTATAAGCCCTTTAAAAGTTAATAGCTGTTGCGTCATTTGATATTTAGTGTTCCGTAGAGTTTGGTAGCTAAATAGCGCAAGCGTCAGTCTAATAAAACAGAACAGGGTTACTTTTAATTTTTATTGAGACTTAGGGCCAGTTTTGCAGAGGTAAGATGTAGGTATTATTGGGCCTTAAACCTCACCAATTCTTACTAGTCACTAATAATTATATTATTTTTTCATACATACATACCCTTTGTATCAAACGCTCTGTATACCGGAACTCCTCGTAGCTTCTCATGAATTTATTTTTATCTTCTATATTTACTAATATAACGAAGGTTGAGTCGCTACTTCTCGCTCGACCTAAATCATATAGAATACAATAGATAACACAATTACTCAGAAATACTAAATTTACATTAAACACAAATAAATAGAGTTAAGAGAGAAGAAGAGAAGGGAGAGTGAAAGAGTGTGAGAGAGAAAGAGAAGGGAAGAGGAGAGTTAAAGGGTATGAGAGAAAAGTTGAAAGGCCAAAGTTTAAGAGAGAAAAAGAGAGAGAGGAGAGTGAAAGTGTAACAGAAAGGGAGAGGGAAAACAATAATACGAGGTGAAGTAAGTCAAAACGAGAGAGAGTTAGCGCGAAGGGGAGGTAAGAAGAAAACTAAAACAAACCTTTACTCTGTACGTATGACCGGTACTCTAGAGGCGGGTCGAAGCGCACTACTAGTAGACATTGTGGTATGTCTATGCCTTCTTCTATAACGCTCGTCGATATCAAACAGTTCAAGTCACTGGAATAATAATTTCAATATATTTTCTCAATATGTTTCATAATAAATCAATCACAGATAAGTTGGTGAAATTACACGTTTCAAGTGTGGGAGAGCCATGATTCGGCACCAATGGGCCGGCTAGACCGGAGTGATACCACTGCTTCACAGAAAGCCGTCGTGAAACAATACTTAAGTTGTGTTTCGCTGTGTGAGTGAAGTTACCGAAGACCCAATTTTTCCCATTGTCAATCCAAAAGGGTTGAGAATTGGGGTAGTAGGGATTTAAGCATGCTTAATTCCAATAACCTACAAAGGGCCGGCAACGCACGTTAAGTAACTTTTTTGGTACTTCGATTGTCAATGGGCGGCGGTGATTGCTTACCATCAGGTATGAGAGAGAGACCATTTTTCACGACCTATCTGTACTAATATTACAAAGAGGTAAATTTTGTAAGTTTGTATGTAGGGGGTAATCTTTGGAACCGCTAATCGGATTTCCAAAATTCTTTCCTTCCAATGTTCCTGAATGCTATCGGCTATAAAACATCACGCTACGGATTAAATGGAGCCAAGCAGCGGGTGAAACCGAGCGAGAGTAGCTAGTAATATATAAAGGCAATGGTTGGAGCATCAATCACCACGTTTGGTCAAGGCGGATCGGGGATTTCAAACTTAAAATTTGAAATTATAAGTCCGGGTTTCTTTACTAAGTTTTTATTCGCCGTTTGTGAGTGGTGTCAGTCAGTAATCAAAGAACGTACATGTAACTCGGAAATAGTCACATTGGTACTTGCCAGGTTTTGAGCCCTCAAAACCTGCAAGCCTTAACAAGCGGGCCACCATAACGACTTCTGGTGTTGTAGGTGTGCAAAGGCAGCGTCGATTGCTTACCACTGGTAATTCGTCGTTTGTTGCCGCCCTGTACCGTAAAAATAAGATATAAACAATGACTTACTTGTTCTTAAACTTCAGTAATGCTTTATGGCTACATTTCTTGACATAGTACTCTTCTCTCGTATTCTTCATTGGGTTGACATTAAAGCCAACAACGAAATCGTGTTTCAGAAAACCAAACTCCTCAGGATTCGCCTCTTTCACATCTTTTAAAAGATTGTATAAAACTTTCGCTGTAAACCTTTGTTTTGTAAATATTATGGCTGATAGCTGCCTTTTTTTATTCGCTTTTAGTAGACCTGCAAAAGGAAATATTTTAAAGAAGTCGCACACATCTATGTTTATCACAAGAATGTCTTATACAATAAAAAATATACATAATTATATGATATATTATTGAATAAATTCATTATTCAACACTCTTGGTGTGGATCTAATCCCATGGCAATTAGGCACATAATGACACTTATAATCAAACTGTGACTTTTATTCATTACTGTTATTCACTAGTGAGTAATGGAATTTAACAGTCGAAAAGCCCAAAAAAAGAAACCTCATTTTTAGTCTATGGCCGATGCGCGCATAGGAATTTTAAATAAAAAAAAAATCCCGCCATTGCGAAGCATTTTTCACAAGTCGTCTCGTTTTCTCTCAATGTGCCTCAGCAGTAATCACCAATATTAGGTACACATGAACATGAATAAATTAATTGTAATAAATTGTTGAATTCATACTTTACCTCCGGGAGTTTCCTTTGCGGCTGGATTGTATTCTTTCAGTATATTCAACATAAGTAATACTTTTTCTGATGAATGTTTTGTTATTTTCGCGTATCCCGTTTCCGATTTCATTGCAGCTGTCAACAAGGCGCGTGCGCTGCAATAAAGACACATATTATGCGTGTAGTTTAAAAGTCTTTGAGTAGAGTAACAGTACAAGTTGAGTCAGAAAAAGCATGAGTACTCTTTGATTAACCAAATTTTTTAAACTTCGGTCTCTGATCCACCCTGCTCGTGTTGTTATTATGGCAAACACAAAAATCTTTTCTAAACTAAAAAACTTAAAAGAATTGACGATCGTAGGCTTTTTTTTTTTTTTTTTTTGTGAGGGGAAAATCATCAAATGACTTCTCCCGCCCAGGGCCGGGCAGGAGGGAGTGTCAGACTCTTACTGACTAAAAACCCCCCTGTTCCTTCTCCTGCTCTGTGCCGAGGTCGCGGTACCTCATTGCGCTTACCCCGCAACCCCGGCTGAACATCAGCCCTTTAGGGCCCCGTCTGTGGTGGTCTATTGGCTCTTTGAGGCGCGCGCGGAACGCTACGCGCCGTACGCTCGGGCCTGGTTCTGGTCGGGCGGCGAGCTGCCCTTACTCGCCGACCGCAGGCCCGTACTTACGGTGGCCGGAGATCGTCCCTCGATCCCCGACGCCCGTAGTGTCGCCAGTTGCGGCTGCTGGGGCGTGAGGAGGAGGATTGCTCCCTCACGCGGGCCGCCTCTCTCTTTGCGAGCATGACTGCTTCACAAAAGGAGGAGACGGCGTCCCAGTTCCTCTCACTCCGCACCATGGCCTCGACTAAGGCCGGGCGCGAGAGGTCGCCGCCGCCGATCACTTCCCTGAGGATACGGCGGTGCTCAGCCCAGGCAGGGCATACCGCTACCGTATGCTCCACCGTATCCTCTAGGTGGTCCTCACAATGACGACACTCGGGCGTTTCCTCCCGCTGAATCCGAAACAGGAACCTACCGAAGCTGCCGTGCCCGGTAAGCACCTGCGTCAGACGGAAGGTGAGGACGCCGTGGCGTCTCTCAAGCCACTCCTCAAAGAGGGGTCTTACCGCTGCTATGGTAGCGTGCCCGGCCCTCGGTTGCGACAGTCGTTGTCTCCACTCTGCCGTGAGATCTCGCCGGAGCTCATTCCGCCACGCACTTATTTGGCGCGGCAGAGGATCTTCGCCCCGGCGACGCGCGTCTGCGCGCAAACTGTAGACGCGCGCGAGCGCCTTCGCTTCTAGATCCCACGGCGGTGATCCGGCAAGGAGGTTCGCCGCCTCCCCGGAGATCGTGCGATACCCGCGGATTACTCGTATAGCCATGACCCTCTGGGACGCGACCAGCGTACGAGCCGGCCGCCGCCTCAAGTCCGGCGCCCACACAGGGGCACCGTAGAGGGCCATGGATCGCACAATCCCCATATACAACCTCCGGCAGGAGGCGTTTGGCCCCCCGAGGTTGGGAAGGAGCCGCTTGAGCGCGGCCCCAGACCGTTCCAACTTAGGGGCCAAACGACGAAAATGCTCCGTGAAGTTCCATCGGCTGTCGAGGACGAGACCCAGGTACTTCATCGCCGACTCGACGCCGATGGTAACTCCTCCTGCCGTTACTTGGGACCCACCTGGAGGTGGCGCGCTCCGACGGCCATAGAAGCACATGGCCTCGGACTTGTGGAGCGCCACCTCGAGTCCCAACTGCCGGATCCTTGCAACGACTGTCGCAACCGCTTGTGACATCAGGTCGGCCGCCGCCTGATGCGACCTCCCGTTCGCCAGCACCAGCGTGTCGTCAGCATAGCAGACAATGCTGACGCCGCTCGGGAGGTCGGTGCGTAGCACCCAATCGTACCCGATGTTCCACAGGAGAGGTCCCAGGACCGATCCCTGTGGGACACCGCGCGACACCTCTCGCCGATTCCACACGCCCCGGTGACCGGGGTAGATGACGCATCTGTCCGTCAAGTAAGCCTCGACTACACGACGGAGATAGGCAGGCACCCGGTGATACCGGAGTGCCTCCAAAATGCAGCTCCAGGGGAGCGAGTTAAAGGCGTTGGCGATGTCCAGAGACACCGCCACGACGACTCGCCTCCCGGCCAACGCTGTCCCCGTCGTGAGGTCCCTCACGCGCATGATGGCGTCCACCGTGGAGCGCCCTCTTCGGAAGCCGAACTGGCCGTCCGCTAAATCCGGCCCCCTTCCAGACAGGTGCCCGACGAGGCGGTCTGAGATTATCCTCTCGAACAGCTTTCCCACCTCGTCGAGCAGCACAATGGGCCGGTACGCGGACGGGGAGTCCGCAGGACGCCCCGGCTTCTTCACGAGGACCAGTTTACCCGTCTTCCACGACAGCGGAAACTGGCCTCTCTCCAAACATGCGCTGAACAGACCAAGTAGTCGAGGCCTGAGAGCCTCCGACGCCAGGACCCAGACCTTGGCATGCAGCCCGTCAGGTCCTGGGGCGGTATTCTTGCCGCTCAGCCGGCGCACCGCCACTCTCAAATCTACCTCGGTCACTTCCGGAGCGGATTCGTCTTCGTCGTCGATGTAGCCCGCATTGGGCACCGCAGGGGGCGGGGGCATAGCCGGAGGCGTGTAACCCGTCTGTGGTCGGGGGAATAGCGCCCCAACCACTTCGTCCACGACCTCCGGCCGGAGACTCTGAGTCAGTGGGGGCGCCCAGGTGCGGAGCTTATCACGCACCATCCGGTAGGGGCGTCCCCACGGGTCTCTGTTCAGAGTCTCCAACATCTCCTCGCGGGCCCGATCTTTGGCCCGCCGGATCTCCACCCTGAGGGTGGCCTTCGCCGCCCTGTACTCCTCGTATAGCTCCGCCTCTCTGGTTTCAGCGTCCAGAGGGCGGAGACGGAGCCTGCGGTGCCTGGTGTATCGGCGTCGCGCTGCGGTGCACTCACCGCGCAGGTCTGCCAATTCCCGCGACCACCAATACACCTGGCGCTTGCGTTGGCACGGTCGGATCCGGGGCATCGCCACGTCGCACATCCTTGACATGGCGTCCTGGAGCCATCTCGCCTCCTCGTTAATGTCGGCTGGCCTGACCGGTGGTATCACCCAGGCCTGCACGACTGCGGCTTCCAGGAAAAGCTCCCGGTCCAGTTGCCTAAGCGCCCAACGCGGGCCACACGGGGCCTGTCTGACTGGCGGGTCTGCGGACTCGGCGGAGACGTCGAACCGTATATACCGGTGGTCCGAAAACGTCTCCACCTCCTCCATGACGCGCCAGTCAACAACGCGCGATGACAGAGCGGGGCTGGCAAACGAAATGTCCACCACTGACTCGCCCCGCATCCGTACGCACGTGGGGACAGAACCCCGGTTCAGCACGACTAGGCCTGTCTCCAGAGCCCAGACTTCGACCATCCTTCCCCGGACATCAGTGAGCCGGGAACCCCAAGCCAAATTCTTGGCATTGAAGTCCCCGAGGACCAACACGGGGAGGGGACGGAACCCGACGACGACGGTGACTAACTCCCTGAGGGAGTTGTGGAACTCGACGAGAGTTCGGTTCGGAGAGAAGTACACGCCCACCACGGCGATCTCTCCGAACCGAGCCGCGACGCAACCCCTGCCTCGCTGAGGCCCTTCGGGGGTTGGGGTACCGGCGGCGGCCGACGAGATGATGGTCACCGAGCCGTCCAGGTCTGACACCCAGTGTTCCCTGGCTGGAACGAAGTACGGCTCGGAGACCACAGCAACATTGATCGACCACTGCGCCATGCTCTGGAGCAGGAGATCCTGAGCAGCGACGCAGTGGTTGATGTTCGCCTGGAGGAGGCGTAATGGAGCCATTATTGGGTATCCATCACGACCTCCTCTCTGACGGCAGCGGCGACAGCAGCAGTCGCAGGGGTGTTGGCGACTGCGGCGGCAGCGGGAGCGACGGTGGGAGCGGTGGAGGTGGCTACGGGCCTACCTTTGCTCCTGGGTTTGGTGGGGGGGGAGCAGGTTTTGCCCCCAACCCGGTGATCGGCCGGTTTGCCAGCCGCCGCACATACTACGCAGTGCGGCGGGGCGGTACAAGCGCCGGCCCTGTGACCGGGCTGACCGCAGCGGAAGCAGCGGTCGCTGCGGTCCACCTCTGAGGTGCACTTGGCACCCACGTGGTGACCCACGAGGCAGCGGAAACACCTCAAAGGTCGGGGTTCCAGGAGCTTCACCTGCGCCGAAACCCAGCCCACCAGGAGCCTTTTACCCTCTGCCAGCTTTTTGGCCGCTGTGACGGGGCAGCTGACTACCACAGTCCGCAGCCCCGTATTGTCCGGGCGGATAGTGCCTGCCTTCACCTGGTCAGCAGGGCACCCCCCCGTCCTGGCGACAGCGGCCGCCACCTCATTCTCCGTCACGGAGTCGTCCAGGCCCATGATGCGTAGCTCCAGGCATTTGGTGGGCCTGGACACGCGAGCTTCGTCCGCCGCAATGCACGCCCTGAGCCTCTCGGCAAGGGCATCAGCGGACGGGCCGCTGGCCGCGCCGGGGACCTCCAAGAGACGGGCTCCAGTGGCAGTGACCCTCACTGCGAACCCGTCGGGTGCCCCAAACTCCGCGGGAGTTACCGCCCCCTTCAGTTTGGCGAGGACCTCGCCATACGTCACCCCCTTTTTCGCCGCGTCCGGCTGTAGTGTGATAACTACAGCCGAAGATTTTGGGGCGAGGAGCATTGCCGCAGCGCGCTTCTCCTTGCGCCGCTGCTGTCGCCGCTGCCGCTGCTCCTTCTTCCAGAGCTTCCTCCTCTCCTTGGCGACCTTCCTCACCTCCCCCGCCACTTGCCACTCGCTGCCAGCACGCGACTCAGACGGCGGAGTAGGTGCCGGTGCGGCTGGGGCTCCAGCCGCTGCTCCTCTTCGTCTGCGGCTCATCGGCGCAGGAGCCAGCGCCGAGGGAGACTCGGGCGCTCTCGTCGGTGGCAAGGCTGGCGGCGCTTTCGCCCCCTTCTTCGCCGGTGCGCTGGCTTGTGCCCCACGGCTGGTTGGCGGCTTGGGCTTAGCCGCTGCGGCAGCATACGACCCGGCTGCGAGTGGAGGTCGCAGGAGCCTACCCTCCAGCACGTCGAAACGCTGCTGGAAGGCGGCCATCTCCCGCCGCATAAGGCCGAGAAGGTCGGCCTCCGCTGGCTGCGCAGGTTGGGATCGGACTCCCCGAGCTGCGGCGAGCTCTGTTTTTGCTGCCCGAAGCTCAGCCTCCAGGGCAGTATTGGCAGCCACCAAGCGGGATAGCTCCCGCCGCATTCCAGCCAGCTCTTTTTGCATGGCGGCCATCTGCCGCTCAGCTGAGCCCGGCTGGGATACCGCCGACATAATAGCGGCTTCCGCGTGTTTAAGCACTCCATTTCTGCCAGCCTGGGTTTTCTGCCCAGCCAGCATGCGGAGTGCTTCCTTTACTTGTAGGCGGAGGCTCTCAGCGCCGCCTACAGAACCCTCACCACCGGAGGCCTCCATCTCCGAGGAGTCCGAGGGGGCAGCCTTTCCCAGGGCGCTCCCCTCCGCTGCCAGCCGCTCTGCCGGCTCGGATCGGCTCCCAGCCGCCCTTGTGGAGCCCTTCCCCTTGCCCCTACCCCGCGCAGCCGTGGGGATTTTGGGGGCTGGGGCCTCCTGCTCGTTGGTAGACGGCTCCAACCTGGGACGTTTAAAAACGCCCCGGTCTTTCTTGTGGCGCAGCGCGATGCTGACGCCAGACAATGATGAGTCGGACTCTGAGTCCGACTCCTTCCTGCTAGAGGCACGTGCACACGATGCATCTAGCGCCTCGGTTATATTCGCAAGCGAGCTGACCTCGCTTGCGTCCTCCTCACCGTTAGGTGGATTTTTCTTTTTATTTTTGTATTTAGGTATCTCCATGTGATTCCCACGAGTATGGGGGAAATAAAAGGTCCGCCCAGGGAGAGCCCCCTGTCCCTGGGTAAGTGTGCATTTGTCTCCCAACTAGGGGGTCCACCGGTCCCCTAGCTGGGGGTGCGCTCACGACTGATCCTACTCCTCAGCCATACATACCCTCGCCGCGCACCAGAACTTAGTATTGGAGGAATTTTTTATAGAGGTTATCTTCCTCGCGGTCCGGGCGGTTAAGCCAAGACCCTCGTCCCGGTCCGAGTCATAAAACATGACCATGATCTCTTCCCGGATTACGATATCGACGGGTGCAGTCGGGCGCAGCTAGTGCCCCGATGCTACTCATTGGCAGGGTGAGTGCACAACGAGTGCCGCCCTTGTTTCTCCGCCCCGCTCTCTGCTAGGTCCAGAGAGTCGTGCGGAGGAACGCCCCCACGGAGGCGTAGACTCCATGCCAGCATAGAGCCGGTCGCCTCTAGAACCCGACCGGGTTCTCCGCCCGGCCAGAAGTTCGCTGCGGGCGACAGTCAAACCAACCCTGTCACCATCCCGTTAGGGAGACTGTCGCCCGCACCCAGGGTGCACCACGGGGAGGTCTTCTGGCACGCACCCCGACGATCGTAGGCTGATATTATGATTACAGATAATAATTGACTGGAATAACAGGTAAGCTAGGGTTTTTATTCTACTCATGTGAACGAAGCCGCTGGCAAATCACATGACAAAACTGCGGAGCTGAGCCTTCTTGCAGCGTATAATCTTACAAAGTACAGAGCGCTCAGGGTACTCAATTTCATACATATTATTTTTTTTATCGTTCCCTCACCAAGAAAGCCATTACCTATAGAAGCATCCAAATCAACAAGTTATGTCAATCCTAAATTTCCCAATATATTTGACGCTGATTGTACGTAAACCTAAAAAATGTTTCATTGATAAGTGCCATACTAATAAATGTCTAGTAAATGTCGAATCTCCACCACCATCATGCATCCTGCATTCCTGGTCATCGCACGATAGTATAATAAGTTGTTGGGAAAATGCCTCTTCTCTCTCGGAGAAATTTTGAGCCTGACAGAAGGTATATAGGAATAAATAAATAAACATACTCACTCTACACAATATGTAATAGCGACTTTATACAGGAGCTCCTCTTCTTTAGTTACAGCTTTTCGTTTTAAGCGTTCCAATAATATTACGTACGCCAATATACCCAAAGAACCGCCGTAAAGACCTAATTCTTCTAAGAACATGATCATTGCCGATATCATATTTTTCACCGCTTTCACAATCTGTAATAAAAAGTCTCTAGTTTTATTCCCCACTAGCTACTCTCGCGTGGTTTCACACGCTGCTCGGCTCCATTTAATCGTAGCGTGATGTTTTATAGCCTATACCACTGAGGAACATTGTAGCTATCTATCAGTGAAAGAATTTTGGAAATTCGACCAGCTGTTCCAATTTCCAAAATTCTTTCACTGAAATTTTATGAATCAAATGTGACAGAGGGTGCTATAAAAAATAAATTTCAAGACAATTTATTTTATTTATTTATGTTCATGGGCGGCGCCGGTTGCTTATCATCAGTCGTCTGCTTGTATGTAAATTTATCTCATAAAAAGTTGTCATTTAAGCAATGCTGAAATTACCCAGAGAATATTTTGACTAATCTGTTTTTAGTCATGTTATATCTTATATAGCTAACATAAATTATTTACGACATACGTATGAAACATGTATCTATCTACAACCTTTCATTTGATACTCCACTTGAGCATATTTGCAGACATTCCGTTTTTCTTCCCCACTTTAACCCCTATAACTTTTAAACGGCTCAATCGATCTTGTCATTCATGTTTGATGAAAACATGTCTAAGAACACTTGCCCGTAAAACACTTGTTATACAAAAAAAACTAAATTGAAACCGGTTCATTCGTTCGAGATCTATGATGCCACATATAGACAGACAGACACGTCAAACTTATTACACCCCTCTTTTGGCGTCGGGGTTTAAAAATAGGGTCAGTCAATTAAGAAAATTCAAGCATTGATTCTTTTACCTTAGCCGGGTCGGAGGAGAATTCTTTCTGGCCCTCTTTCAATTGCTGACGGTGATTCGGTTTCGAGCTAGGTAATTTTATATCACTAATAAGTTGCTGCAGTTTCGTCAGCTTAGTCACAACATCGTTGGATACTGTTGACGGGGCCAGGCTTCGGTAGAACTGCACCATTTCATTCGGATTTGTCGAGTAGCTGGAATTTTTAAATACATTTTAATACCTACCTACCTTTAAATGAACATTTAAACCTAAGTATACATTCTTAAATGGTTTATAAGCTCTTAGAAACCGATCTAACGATTTCGATTAGGTAATTAATTACCTACATTTTCTACGTAGCGTTTTTTGGGGACGTAAAGTCAATCTAGTCTATCTATTTTATAAGTCTAAAGTAGTAATAGTATTTTAGAAGAATAAAGTCTATCTATTTTAGAAGAAAAATAAATTACAAGTCTAAGCTCGGTTGAGCTGGAATTCAATAATAATAGAACATTATGGTACAAGAATGTACAGTAGTCTGAAGTTAGCCGTTTGTCTGTGCAATGGATCTTTTAAGAACAAAATTGTGTACTGCGCAGCTAGTCTGCTAACTTCAGTCTCGCCAAGATACGTTGGCGGTATTGTAATGTTGGTGATTAGGTACCGCTAAGGCGCATTGAGGCCCGATCCGTCAGGCGAGGGTCTTAACAAGCCGAGGACGGTATTCATTCATACACACGTGTATCTTACGACGTTTTTCAACACACTTCTGAATAAAATAATATTTTAATAAAAAACGAAATAATTTCCAACGAGAAAACGAGACGACTTGTGAAAAATGTTTCGTAATGGCGGGAAAAATTATTCAATTTACGTGTAGGCGCGCGCATCAGTCATAGACTAAAAAAAATAGTTTCTTTTTTTGGGTTTTTCACGGATAGCATTTTAACAAAAATTATTGACATGGGACTAGAGCCGCTTTATGAGGAAGCGTGTTGAAAAGTGATTTTTGATTTAGCATATTTAAGGAATTTAATGACATTTAGTCATTTAAATAAACATTGGGAAAATGTGTGTTGCTAGGCGTTTTTATGTTGATTTGATATTTGAAATACTCAGTTACAAAGTCCAAAAAATATTATTGGCTAAGGAAAGTATCAAACTGCTTTGTCGTTCATTAAAGCTATAAACCCAGTACAGCGACACGTATTTTTTGCGCCGAGGGCGGAAGCAGGTATGTTAATAAAAAAAATTCATACTCTAAAACTTGTCCCAGCTCATCGACTGTGGCAATCTTTGCGTGGAATGTAATCTCTAACTCGTGGAGTGTGTGTTCCACTCTCGACGTTTTTACATTTGCATTTAAAAGGGTCGCTGTCAAACCTGAAAAGAGAAAAAACTAAGTATTTGAAAACATAAATTGAGTACTTAATGAGCTCATAACATTGATTGCCTACTAAGCTATTGATTCGGTGTATATATGTTTTGTGACATTTAGTGGTCTCCCTTTAACCGACTTTAACGGCTCAGTCGTAGATCTAATACTCGTCTCTGCACCCGTGATCTTAAGCTTAAGTTTAAAAAAAAACACTTGTAAGTGTAGAATATAACATATCCAACCTCATTTTGTGTCACCATATTTTTGGCAAATGAATGATTCATTATTTTACCACAAGCGCACAATATGTGAGATGATGGTCGAACTCTGCCAAGCACCAAAGTTACTTTTGCTATTTTCAAAATTATTAAGACACAACTACATACAGTGAAAAGTATATTACAAGCGTGGTGTTTAATGCTCAATCCTTCTTAGTAAAGGAAGTGGCCCTTTCTCAGCAGTGGCATACTTATAGGCTAGTGATGATGATCAGCTCTTTCGACATTCACGGGAAATAAAATAACTTTCCATTTTAATACTGTGTTTCCGTGCAGTCATCTTGCAACTCCTGTGGCGTTTCAGGTGCCCAAGGGCGGTGTCGGTTGCCTACATTCAGGTAAAGAGTTTTTTGTGCCGACCCAGCTCAAAGAAAGTTACATTACCTAGAACACGAGGTTGCGCGTCTTTTGGACAATTCTCGAAATGTTTCATGATGATCCGCATGGGGTGATCGACGACAGCGTGGTGACATTCGTCGAATATTAAAAAGTTTATGTCATCGATCTTTATATATTGGTGGGTCAACATGTCGCATAGAATCTGGCTGGTCATAACAATAACCTGAAATAAAAATATATTGTCTTTTGGTAAAATAATTAAATAGCATCTCTTAATATGACTGAAGAAGGAGGTTTTACAAGAGGTACCTATTTTTTTTTCAATATCACACATTATTTTGGAATAAGCCGCGCGAGGTTTACAGTGGCGTATCAATGTCAATGCTTCATAAACAGGTACATATAAGCCCCCTCCGTGATTTGAAACAAGTCGTGTTATTTTGTCAAATACTTACATACTTATAGGAGTAAATATCTACACAAAGTTTTAAAACAGAATTAATTTCACATGTCTCACGAAAGTGATGATAAAAAGTGTGCTTACTAATACATATATAAAATATATTTATACGTACCTCATTCTTTTCTAGTTCAGAGTCCCATTTAGCTTTGTCCCAGTAATCTACCCCATCTTCACTACTGTAACCGCCAACAGTGACAGCACATCGATGTTCTATTACCTTTTTCTAAAACAATAAATATTATAATTACAAAATCTATATATATACTTAATAAAAAAAACTACGTTTAAAAAAACGGACTTCAAAAACAAAAAAGTGTCAAATAAGTAATTAAAATTGATATTTTAATAGCACTCTTACGTACGCGAAGCTAATACTTTTAATATTAATAATAAAACACTATAAATTCTATGTGCTACCTGTTCATAGGTTTGAAGTCGGTGCCAAGCCTAATACATAATATAATAAGCATGATTACATGAGTACCTAAACTCGCCGGGCGCGTTTGAATTTATTTGTTAGGATTTAAGAAATTTAGTACCGATTTTCTAACTTTATGGCGTTAGCGTAGAATCAGAAGTCTATATAGTTTCGTTACCGGCGAAACTGTACATAGCTTAGAAAGATATTTGGATGAATTATGAATTCTGAAAGTTTTCTCGTACTTGGTTCTTAAAAGTAGTAGTAGGTAGCTGCGTTGTTAGTTGTGGAAATTTCGTCTTTTAGCAGTTAAACAGTCTGAATTCTCATTTAGTTTTATTCTGTTTAGGGCTTGGCACCGACTTCAAACCTATGAATAGGTAGCACATAGAATTGATAGTGTTTTATTATTAATAAAGCAAAGTGCTCGCCAATACGAATTATTCAAGCCCAAACACAAGGCAATTACTCCAAATAGTCAAGGAGATCCCTCGACTGTCTTCCAGCTCCAACATCTGGTCGACTTCGACCTTCGTCAAGTCGTAGTGTTGTTAAAGGCCTACTTAAACATCATACAAAAAACCTACTCGCAACTACAATTTTCGAAAGTTCCTCTCGGTTTCTCCAGGATTCCATCATCAGATCCTGACCTCATGACAATGGGACCAAATGGCAAGTAGGTATACCCTATCGAATAAAATAGAATTTTGCAAATCGGTGCAGGCGTCTTCGAGTAATCGGTGTACATACATAAAAAAAATATACGCGTCGAATTGAGAACCTCCTCCTTTTTTGAAGTCGGTTAAAAATCAATGCCACTTTTCGTTGTAGTGTTAAAACCCAACAATGCGTTTACCGATTAGGTTATTTTGAATTATTCGTGGAAGTTCATAAAAGGTTTGTACTTACATAGATAAAATATAAAAAAAAAATCTTGACAAGGTGTAAAAACGATATCCCTCAGAATACAGAACAAACCAGAAGGCGGCAACGCGCTTCATATTAAAGCCACTAAAACCACTCTTAGCCAGAGTAGTATGAAATTTCTACGATCAGTCAATTTTGGCACGTGGCATGTCGTGACGTATTTACGAGTATCAATTTTAATTTCATTACGCAGTCTTGTGTTATTATTACGAGTAAAAATAGAGCTGGAATTACGAAAAAAGTGGATAAGATTACATTTTATCTGTAAGCATCGACTGCAATAGTATATTTAATTAATTATTAATTTTCTTTTAACGATTTATTTTTCCATGACAATGATGCGGCCATTTTGTGAGTGTTGTCATTTTTGGTGTAAAATTTACCCACTTATTTATTTTTTGTGAGTTATATTGTTGTCCATTGTGGAACCTTTGTCATATTAGTTTTAAAATGGATCAAAACACATTTACTATACACGTTGTGTATAGTCGGTGTAACTAAAATTAACACAGCCAGAAATCGTCAACTTTTATGATACCTGCATGAAATGTGTAAACAACTAGTCTGTTGCAATTATCGTAAGTTTTCCTATATTTGGGTTTTCCCAAAAAATATATCTTACCCCCCTCTAGTCAAATTAGGTACCCCAAACCAAGGGAATTGTTCCCTGTCGGCAACACTACGCGGGTGGGAAGTGCGGCTAGCGGGGGGACTGACGTATCGTTTTTGGACACATTTGACGACATGCAATAATGAGTGAACACGGATTCTGGTTTGTTCTGTATTCTGAGCGATATCCACATGGGCGGGGCCGCGGGCGACCGCTAGTTATGTATAAATAACAATTAAGTTAATAATTTAGGCAGGCCTGTTGGTGGAATGGCTAGAAGCTCGAGTAATGACGAGCAGAAGAAATTGGTACCCAGGTCTTGTAAAATATTATAAGTATTTCTTGGATTAGGTACATATAAGGAGTCTGGTCTTGTATATCTTGTGTGTCCATCTCAGCCTTTCAAGAAGATTAGGCAAATCCTACTTAATTATCCTATTAATATTACAAACGGGAGAGTTCGTAGGTATGAATGGATGGATGGATGTGTGTTACTCTTTTAAGTAAAAACTGAACGGATTTGAATAAACGTTGGTCGTAAGATAGATATACCTAGTCAGGAATAACAATTAAACTTCCTTTTACTCTGGTACTGCGAGCGAAGCCGGGTGACATCACATGAGATACATATTTGAGAAGTTAACAGCAATGTCGTTAGTTACAGAAAAAATATATGGAAATAATGCTACTTGTGCAATATTTTGATAAGACCAAGTCAAACAACGGTCAACTATAGCCTGTACAGTACCTATTATATACGTCCTTTACAAATAATTTTATTGTTCTAACAACAATTTTGTTTTCAAAAATAGCTTTTACAAACATAGGAATAAAGTTCAACTGCGTATTAAAAATAAGAAGATAAGCGTTCCGTAAGTACCTATTGCAACAGATTCCAATACAAAACATTGGATTGTTAAACACCGAACTTTGTAAACAAAACACAATGATTCATTCTGTTCCCATTCATTTCAAGTACCTACCTAAGTAAAGCACGTTTCAAACGTTATTTTTAACCAATAGGTAGGCACTGCAGTGTGATTCTGTAAGACTTCATTCTAAAATTCGAATCTGAATCCGCTGTGAGTATTAGTACACTAGCGCTATACTTGCGAGTTGAACTAAATTGACAGCAACATTTTGATAGATAACGTTAAAAGTGGCATTCTAAAATTTAATTTCCTTGTCACTTCGACGCTCACTTCGCACTCGAACACGATTCAAAATCAAACAAATTTTATAGAATCGACGTGCTTTCTTATATAAGCGATAATAATGAGTAAGTCGTTGTTTACAATTAATTTAGTAAACCCAACGATACCTAAATTACTATTAAAACCTTATTACACAATTTTCATATACCTAATTTCTTGCAAACTCTCGGCGTTCGGTTAACAATGAGGGCATCGCCACTATTGTTGTAAGTAAGTCTTTTTGTCTATCAGAGGTTGATCGGGTAGGAAATGTAAATTAAATAATGTAAGAGGATGAACCAGTGCTGAAAAGGTGATTACCGGAATATAAAGTCAACATATAGGTAGGTACTTATACTTGTATGATATTGGGCTTTGCTCTTGCCGTATGTTGTACACCTGTTAACCTTTTAACCTTTAGGTACAACATCCCATCTTTACCAGAATGGGAGGACAGGTCCAACCTAAAGCCAAAGTAACTAGGTATCTTACTTTTTGTGTATCAGTCTGTCCTCGAGTGAAGCTATTCTATACTTAAATAAAATTTCATAATACTCAAACCCATTACAAAAATTTGTGGACTGCACAAAACTGTTCCGTTTGGGAATCGAGCGGCGACAATTTACACAATAACCCGACCACTTCACCAAACGGCAATATTAGTTTGTTATAGCTAGCTAGCTAGTATAAAAGTCTCTCTGTCCCTATTTAACTACGCAATGGATTTTGATGTTTTTTTTTAAATAGTTATTGAAGGGGACGGGAGGTGGAAAATAAGTATTAACATAGCACCCATGAGAAGCCGGTGTGGGTCGCTACTTTAATAACATTTAAATATACGAAAGTCCCATAAATAAATATTAAGAGAAGGAAAAAGAACTTTTTGAAAAACGAAAATATAGTCTATCTATACCTATACCTATCACTCAACTACCCACATTGTTAGTAATAGTGAAGTAGTTGAGAAAATATGACGCAATTAGAAATAAATTGTGCCAATGTTACGTAATGCGACTTTGAGTTCGCTTCCTTGCGGAGTTGTACGGTGCGCTGTGGATAGGGACACGTCAGTACCTAAACGACTTGACATGTCTAAAACAATGTGTTACTGTTAGGTAACTTACGACTATAATTGTTAATGGCATCCTTATATTGAGATCGTATTTATTACATTTTTTCTATTGAACTTCTGTTCTGTTGAAAATTCAAATCAATCATAACACTTACTTAGGTAATAATTGATTCGTTACTATTTCAGTTTATATTAATGGCAAGAAAAATAATTATTATAGAAAATACACTAGTCCAAACAAGAAAGACGTCAAGAGTCATTTGAAAATTGATATTAAAAATGGTAGGTAACCCAAAAACCATTAAACCTTTTAACTAGTTAAATGGCAACTATCTATGACAATAATTCAGTTTCAGACGGCGGCAGCTATTTGGCGGTTAAATGATCAATAGATAAGGGATTACACATAGTAGAAAAAAAAGTCACTTTCTCTGTCCTTATATCCCTGTATGTATGCTTAAGTCTTTGAAAGTTTTTTAATAGATAGACTCTATCTATTAAAAAACTTTCCTCTTCAATCACTCTATCTGATAGAGTGATTGAAGAGGAAAGTTTATATGAATAATGACATCTATTAAACAGTTCACAAATATCAGTATTGCACCCGAGCGAAACCGGCCCGGCTTGCTAAATTTGTATAAAAAATTCAGGTACCAAATAACACCAGAAATAAAAATAATATACCAAGTTTATTAAGCGAAGTGAAAGCGTTTGAGGCCACTCTGGCGCTGGACCCTTGCCTGAGGAGTCCACAGTCCAAAATAAGATCTATTTCTCTATCACTAGTTAAAGATGTAGGAATTTAAAAAAAATGAGAATGTTTTAAACAGAAATGCAACACAAAACTATAAAAATATTCAATAATCATATAATAAAACCTGTTTGACAAAATTTTTACACTTTAAATGAAAAAGAACTATGTGTAATAAATAGGAGTCATTTGATAGCTGACTGTCTTCCTATCTATATAGTGTTAATCACTTGGTGTTTGCTTAGTATAAGTAGCATATATGTTTATTCTATTTTCAAAAATCAATACATACTTACTGATATACTAATGACTACTAATATTGATGACAATGAAAATCAACTGATAATAGAACCATTATTGTTAAAAGTGTTATTTTATAATAGTTATGAATATTAATATCTATTATTTATTTATTTACTACATAATTTTATTTAACCAAACTACTTGTTTCTTTCTCCTAGTGCTGCAACCAAAATACATATATGTACATAGTCTGGCCGTAAATACTGTTACAACAAAAAATAAACAAAATATTACATTTGAATTTGGAATCATTGTTATTGATGTCATTTTTATATAATTTTTCATTGTGTTTTCTTATTTTGGCGCCAATAATTTTTTCAATATTTTGCGATATTAAAATGGAGTGGGGTGATAAAGAGAACCGAATCGCTGTGATTGCATTACAAAAACTGGGAGCCAAATGCAATTTTTAAAACGCTCCACACGCTTGGCATTAGTCAAATGTTTGTGTACCGGGCTATTAATAGGTACAATGAGACCTCCTCTGTTTGTGACAGAAAAAGATCTGGCCGTCCACGTAGTTTTTTTTTTATTATTTATTTATCATTTTTACAAATATTACAGGATTATTTATGTTAAATAACAACCAAAAAATCCGCTAAGGTTTAAACTTGTGCTATCATGAATCATATGAAATCGAAAAAAAATTTCGTTACAGTTTTATAATTATGTGTACGTTATTATCGAAATTAATTTATACAATCTTTGTGTTCGTACGAAAAAGGTGGTCAAAGCAGTAAGGGAAAGAATTCGAAGAAATCCTGTCCAAAAGCAAAAGATTTTATCTCGGGAGATGAAGATAGCACCTAGAACCATGTCGCGTATTTTAAAAGACGACTTAGGACTTGCAGCCTATAAGAGACGCACTGGACATTTTCTAAATGATAATTTAAAAAAGAATAGGGTGATAAAATCTAAACAACTACTGAAGCGGTACGCAAAGGGAGGTCACAGAAAAATTTTGTTTACGGATGAGAAAATTTTTACACTTAAGCAACATTTTAACAAACAAAACGACCGTATTTATGCTCAAAGCTCTAAGGAAGCTTCTCAATTAGTCGACAGAGTGCAACGTCGGCATTATCCGACTTCAGTGATGGTTTAGTTGGGTATTAGCTATGAAGGAGTGACTGAGCCATACTTTTGCGAAAAAGGTATCAAAACATCGGCACAAGTGTATCAAAATACCATTCTTGAGAAGGTAGTTAAGCCCCTTAACAACACCATGTTCAATAACCAACAATGGTCCTTCCAGCAAGACTCAGCGCCGGGTCATAAAGCTCGGTCCACGCAGTCTTGGTTGGAAACGAACGTTTCCGACATCATCAGAGCTGAAGACTGGCCGACGTCTAGTCCCGATCTTAATCCGCTGGATTATGATTTATGGTCAGTTTTAGAGAGTAGGGCTTGCTCTTAACGTCATGATAATTTGGACTCCCTAAAACAATCCATACGATTGGCAGTGAAGAATTTTCCCATGGAAAGATTGCGTGCTTCTATTGATAACTGGCCTCAACATTAAAGGACTGTATTGCAGCCAATGGAGACCACTTCGAATAAGCTTTTTATGTTTTAAATTGTTTTATATTTATGTATTAAACTTACATACTGTAAAAGTGATAAATGTTATTTGCAATAGAAAAAATATTTTTTTTATTTGCTACAGTATTTATGGCTAGACTAGGTATAAGTACCCAAATCCCGATAGATTGGGCCAAGGGTGTATCATTTAATATAATATAATTTAAGTGTGTATATGTATCTACTTAATGTATGTGTATTGAATATAAATACTACAACTACTTGAATAAAATAAATAAACATCTGACCTGTTGATTTACTAATGGTACAGTGTTGACCAAAAAGAAAGTCCGCTTCCCTCCTTGGCCCCATGGCTTTAGTAATGCTTGACGGAATCTTTTAATGAGACAAACTGCAATATATGTCTTACCAGAACCTGAAAGAAAATTATGGTTTATTTAATTACATGCCATCTACCTAAATAAATAGTGAGTGAAAGAGTGAACATTACTGCATCACTGTTTCAGTATTATTTCATCAACCTCTTTGGCTGAACAAAATTGACTTTAAAATATTAGAAAATTACACTATAACAACATTAACACCATACGGTTAATTAGTAACAAAAATTTGAGCCTATTGTAAAGAGAATTTAATTTGTAACAAACCTGTTGGTAAATAAATAATTGTATTGTTTTTGACAGCAATTTCTTCGAGTTGGGCTTGGTAAGGTCTTGCCTTAAACTCGTCTGTAGCCTCTGAATACTCATCCACTTCCATCTTGTATAGATCTGTATGTGTACAGATCTATAAGAATACCTTAAATTTAACTTTTTATAAGTATGTAACATAAATGAGAAGTTTTTCGTTTTCTGGCTAGATTAGCTAGCTTTGCTAGGTATTTAAAAAAACATCTATTATTTTTTATACTAACATTTCCTGTGATACTACTGTCACTTACACAGAAAATTATTTAAGTAATATAATTGTGATTGAATAATTTTTATTCAGTCTTAATTAAGATTTACTTTTATTAAATTTAAAGTACATATTAAAAATGAATGGTTAAAAATGAATATAAGAAACAATCACTTAAAATTTGAGAACAACATTATAAAAACGATTATTTTCTTAAATTAAAATATGAAGTTATGAAGGAAGCACTTTCTTTTTATAGAAATTTCGCTATACATACAGAACCGGTCAATTTTAGAATACAACAAATTAACTCAAGATCAATACCTATTAAGCCTTTCAAAGTAGGTGATGCAAGAAGAAGTAATAACGCTTTTAAATGCACTAAGACTGAGAAGTATGTTGCACTCACTGTGGCGAGAACATAATAATAATGTACCCTGTAAGTAAAAACTTGCGTTTTTAACTTTTGTTTTCATTGAAGACTGACGTTTCCAGTGCTGCCATACTCGTAAAAGGAAGTCCCTGAAATTATTCTTGGTTTGTCTCCAACCTTGAGTAACCAATGTAAGGTACGAGTAGTTGGAATTTTAGTAAAAATACATTTCTACAGTATTTCTGATTTCTTAAACACTTTTAAACGGCATTTTTATTTCAAATAAAAACATATGTATCATTATTTTTCATATATGTATAGTTTTCGGTTCTTTTTTTTTAATTACAAGATTTAATAAGGGATTGCCTGGAGTTGCCGAATGCTTATTAATAAGTGGAAGGGTCATAACATGACGAACATAATACAGCTACTTTTTAAATTTTCCATAAAAACATGGAAATGTTATTACTGAGGTATGACATGTATAATTGACATTCAACGTTTGGTTTTACGTTACAATTTTAGCTTAAATTTAAAATATATTTTAAATGATATTTCTAAAGACAATAAATATTATGAACCTAAGAACACGTGAACTGCATTTTTGTCTAAAATGAGTAATATTTTAATGATATTAATACTTTAATCAAATACTTTTTTCCTGCTTATAAGGAATTCCATTCCATCTTACTTACAAGGAATTGCGAGTTGGGGAACTTTGTACCATAAACAATCTTAACCCACTGAAAGACACGTCACCCCCGTGATAACTGTATTTATACCTATTATATATATTATACCTTTGAACTTTATATACAAAGTAAGTTGGTATGTGTTTCATTGCAACAAAGATAAAAAAATTAAACCTATATGTTTATCAAGGGAAAAGAGAGTAAAGTTTTCAAAGATCAGAAAACCAGGATACGTCGGCGGTTGCGACCACAGGTTGCGACGAATGCTTCAGCGATACCGCCCCTTCGTCACATGGGTAAATGAGGGAGACACCGGTTTGGTTTGGTTTTTGGTCCATAAGAATCTAACAGTACTCTTCGCCCTTCTCCGAAGGCGGTGGGTCTCCATGAGTATTTTAAAACCCGATAGGTACCAGCTGGTGTTGAAGGTAAGCGTGATAATGGAGGCGTGACCCCATCAGTGGTACAATATGCAGAGAAAGAACGGTGTTGTTTTTATTAAAGACATACTCATAAATGTCTCGTAGTTGTCAATTAAGGAGATTCGTTATCTCCCCTGAGATAGTGTGGTGAATCGTGGATGACCCACGAATCACCACACGTTAAATTTGGCGGCCACATAGTAGCTCTGTCATGGAAGGTTATGGATCCCAAAATGAAACCTCTGTCAATAGGCTTCTGACACCCAAATTTGGGTAAAAGCCGCTTGAGAAATGTTAAAGATGCTGCTCGAAGTTCCTCCGGCTGGCGAGGACGACACCCAAATCGCATGGGCCAATCGTGAGTTTCTGGGGCCCTGGACTGTAGCTAGCCTCTTAAATGAGTCAACTTCAAGGTGTGTGTGTAAGCAAGTGGACAATCTACTCACAGTATAGGAATCAAAAAAATACCCCAACAAGAACGAGTTTATAAGCAAAAGGAGTAAAGCCTATGTATGATAAATCCAAAGAGTCTAATACTTCTATTACATCCATCCATTTCCTAGGATCATTATCCTAAATAATCATTTCTATTTATCATCAACCCAATTGTAATCATCTCTACAGAGGAAACATACTTAGTGCATCAGAAATATTTTTAAGGTAAAATAGTGGTTTGCTACTATGTCACTACAAATCAATATTATTAACGATGGCTATTAACTCTTTCAGGGGCACTTTCATATAAGTTACAATATACGTGTTTTTATGTTTTTTATAGTTATATTTAGGCTAAAGAATACTGAAAACATGGTTGAAAAAAATATTAGACTGAAGGCTTTTGAGGAATCACATGGTTAGCTACGGTAACCACTGCCGCTGTAGAACAAAACAATACTATGAAAATTAGTAAAATTTTTTAATCATGAATACAGGATAAATAAACATGAAAACACAGGATTTATTTTACTTCTTATGAAAATCTTCGAAGCAGGACTTTCCTTTACGCAAACATAGTGGAACATTGCAGGTTTTGCATTTCCAAACGGTACGTACGGGAGTATTACTGGTACTGCACTTGAAGTTGTTATCTTCAAAACATATTTTCATAATGTATATTTGTGCTTTGTGGCCACAGGGCCCTGTGATATAACATGCCGAGTAAGTTTGTCTTGAATATATGAAACTGATATGGGCTTCCAACGCGACAGGAGACGCCACGCTACAGTAATGTACCTATTCGGCTTAAAACACGTGATTAGAAAGTGAAACTGTGACCGGATTTTTAGGCGTATCGACAATACTTATGCCTGAATTGTTTTTATTTTTTTTGTAAAGCTAATATATTGTATTTTCAGGTGAAGGTACATTTGAATTTATTAAAAGTAAATAATAAAAATAACTAATTTTACACTTTTAAAGCAATACCACAACCTTTATAGTTTTTAATCATTGAGTATAGAAAATTGTCACTTCGCACTGATACTTATCAAATGTCAATTGTCAATGTCAAAAATTGCTAGCGACGGATAAAACTAATTTTATTTCAGCAAGACGAATTAGTGATTTAATTGCAAAATAATTGATATGCGCTTTAAAATGAAATTTAATTCAATAAAACGACTACTACCTTTGTATTCTAGTTTACTTCTTACTATATTTATAAGTGTTGTATCACCTGGTGGTAAATTTATGAATAATTTAATTTAATGGTTATTGAATGTGTTATAAGGACTGTAGGCCTTATATTATTTTGCAAATTGTTACAGCAAATGACTTACACTTCCATGATGGAGTTTCAACCGCTGACATTATTTACGGAGATGTATTTTTTGAAATACTAGATCCTCCCGAACTTAGGTATTCCTATCGAATTAGACCGGCAAAAGATTTTGGTACGCCTTTTGTAAGTATTGAACATTTTTGTTTGACAGATTTTTAGATAATGGTTTACTATTTCAGAATTGTTAATATGGTTTCAGAATGAGAGTATACAATTTCATGACGCGAGGTTGGTTCCAACGAAGCCACTGCATAGTTGTGTCGACCTTACAAACCAAGATGACATAGTGGGTCAAATTGCACTCTCGGAAAGAGGGTAAGTCATATTCTCAGTGTATCACCCAAAGGTTGGCTAGCAAGAACAAGAACAAGAATGCTTGTAGCCCATCTATGTACTAATTTGTGCATAAAGTTAATAAATAAATAAGTTTGATTTAATAAGTATATTTGCTTTTACCTGTGATTTTGCCCACATGGATTAGGCTTTATCTCTTGTCCAGGATATAAACATGCACACATGCTAATTCCTCTAGCTGTTAAGTATGTTATAGGTATAAAGTGGTGGCTTTAAGGGGTGGCTAACAAAACAATCACACAGGGTCTTGCACAGGCAGGAGCTTTTCTATTAGATACTTAATAAAAAATACAGTAAAAATTTTTTGTGCTTCAAAACACTTATATACTTTTCCAACTCATAGCACTAGTATAGTAGGTTTAATACAGTCATAAAGATAAGATAAAGATATATTTATTTGCTTAAAACATGTGTAGTTTACAGGAAATGCATCCTAAAGCAGTTTAATAAATAAATTTGAGTATCAACATGTTTTGCCATGGAAGGCGTACAAATATAGATTGATTTAAATTACATATTGACAATAATAATAAAATGTAATTCATTAATTAATAAAATAGCAAAATTAATGTCATGATAAAGGAATGTCAGAAAATAAAATATGTCAAAAATATAGTGTCAAAATTGTTAGTCAAAAATAATAATAAATAATGTGATTAGTAATAAAACAGTAGAGATGAATAAGTAATTAAAAGATTATCGATTAAGTAGTCGTTAATATTGTAATAGCATTTCTTTATCAACATAGGAGATTATTGTGCTTTAATAAAAGATTTTAGGCTTAGTAAAAGCCTTGTAATGGGTAAAGCTGCAGCTGGATATATTTATGGAGGTCTAAGGATGGATAATGTCTTGATGGATTTGTAGCATTTTTTGTAAAAGTTTTGATAAGCAGGCACTGAGACACCTTAATCGAGTGTAATTTAAAAGATAATACCTACTTAAACTCTATGTATGTATGTAATATTTTATATCAATAATTTTGAAGGTTAGAAGGTTAGAAGAAGCAACTTAGCTAGCTTTAAGCTAGCTATGTTGCTTCTACATAGTTCTAAGCAAACAATTAATTTATTCAATAATAAAAGCAAGTTACAACCTTTTGTTCACAACTTTGTATAGAATAATGAACTCTGTCAAATTGGAAGATTTTGGAGTATTTTTTTATGTTGTTGACAAACAAGCAGACAGATTACCTGATGGTAAGCAATCAGCGCCGCCCATGGACAGTCTTAATACCAAAAGAGTTACCACAAGTGCATTGCCGGGCTCTTGTGTATTATTAGGGATTTAAGGGTAGAGGATTTGCGGATTGACTTACAAAGGCTTAGGTGTATGACTATAGCATCTTTTTTTTTATGAGTAATCACAGTAATCAAATGACTTCTCCTGCCCCAGGTGGGGCGAGAGGGAGTTTCACACAACCATGTTCCTTTTTCTACTCCTGCTTCAGTCTAAGGACGTAGTACGTTATTGTGTCGGCGAGCTAGCTAGCCATGCTCACTTTATGACAAAGAAAAGTTATGGTTTTATTATTTATTATTAATCTGATTGTTGTAAATTTTCAGCGGATGTTCCTTTGTCTTCAAAACAGCAAAAGCTCAGCAGGCTGGAGCTAGAGCCATAATTATAACTGAGTCAGTAGACAAATGGGATGATTCTCTGGACCATCTAATAGAGATGGTAGATGATAAGTGAGTCACTTTTTATTTATTGAAAACTAGCTCTTACCCGCGGCGTCGCTCCCGTCAATTGACTACTTACGCTACTCTACCTACAGTACTCTACTTACCGGACTCTACCTGCCCTACTCTACCTACCCTACTCTATCTACCCTACTCTACCAACCCTACTCTACCTACCCTACTCTACCTACCCTACTCTACCTACCCTACTCTTCCTACCCTACTATACCTACCCTACTCTACCTACCCTACTCTACCTACCCTACTCTACCTACCCTACTCTACCTACCCTACTCTTCCTTCCCTACCCTACACTACCTACTCTATCCTATCCTATCTCCTTCTTCCAGTTTTTAGCTACCTCCCTATGAATTTTCAGAAAAATCGGTTTAGCCGTTCTTGTATTATAAATAGTGTAACTGACACGACTTTTATGTTATTTATATTATAAAGCTGGAGAGTTTGTTTGTTTTACTATAGATTTTATTTTTGTGTAACTCAAGATACTAGATTTGACCAGGATAAATTAAAGAATCAACCAATTAAAATAACTGTCTCTTTGTCAAATTAAATTTTAATTTTTAAGTGTAATAATTCGATGTTTATAACATTTTAATATATGTACTTGAAATAAAAATAACATGATGTTAAATATTTTCAGAATGGACCTAGATGTGAATATACCAGCAGCTTATCTTCTGGGTCGAAGTGGTACAACTATTCTTCGCACATTAAGAAAATTAAAAAAAGATTATGCAATTGTCAATCTCCCAATTAATTTGACCCATGTGCCAATTGGTAAGATGAACCAGCCCCCATGGATTTCATGGTAAATTTTATAATTCTGTATATCATATATGGTTTCTGTTATAAATTTATAATATATCTAAATATGCACTGTTTGTATTTAAATGTGGACGTAAATGTAATAAAAAGCCTCTTAAAATTAAATCAATTAGAAACATATTAAATTTTAAATGAAATTGATATAGCATTTAATTTTAATTATGTTTCTGTCCATAAAACAATTACCTATACTCAAGCTTTAATTGCCTGCCAGTGTTTATTTGCTGAACCCTTATGACCATGAAATAAAACTCATTTTCAACAATCTGTTTCAAGAGTCTGTATAAAATTTAGGTTTAATTTTGTTATATTTCATTCCTTTATTGTAGTAGTCTCGTTGTCTGTGTTATTATAAAATAGTTGTGAAAATCATGATGCAGTTTTATAACCAAACCTTGAGTACAAATGTATTATTTGTAAAAAAATGTTATTTAGTTAGTTAAGTAGTAGGTTGTTTTTAGATAATTAGGTTTTATGGTTATTGCTGCTCATGGAGTTATTATTTAACTTATAAACTAAAACAGTCAAATTAAAGGAGAATGTGATAAAAAAATTGATTTTTGAAGTCATTACTGTAATGTAAACTTGATATAAAGTACTGTGTTATTTATAATATTATTGTGTTTTAGTTCAAACTTTTTAGTAATGAAAAGGCATGTCAGTATTACTTGATCATTGTATTTCCTGTATGTACGTTTTATTCAGTAGATACCTACTAAATAACATGATATATTCGTAACTATAATGATTAATTTAATAAAAAAGCAAGTTTTACATTTAATTGCTTTGGTTGATTGAGACTTGGGCTAAAAACAATGGTTCTGTAATATGTTTGTTCAAATGCACATTAAATACAATTCAATTACAATGCAACACAATAACACGTGTATGTATATGTGTAGATATTTGAATACCACAAAAGAAGAAAAAAATTATTATGGAGTAATCAATATAATATTTTATTTGCAAACTTATCATGCTTGAGTGCGTTGGTTGGGAAGGACCTTAGCACTTAAGGATACACTAGCGCCACATCAGTCGATGTCTATCAGTAATTATCTGTAAACTCACATAGTTACATAGTACTACTCTATAATACATAAACACTGGAATTATATCTACAATACAAAATCAGAGTCTTGGTTGTCAATCAAGAAGAAAAATAAAATAACTTGTTACCTAGTAAACGATTTCGACAAACAAAAGCCACATTTATCTTACCCACCAATAAAACTGCCAGAAAGTGGTTGATTAATTATTTTAATTCTAGTACTACATATATGGCTGTACGTTTTTTGTATTATTTTTCGTTGTAGTTTGTGATATGTATGTATTGATATTGATGCCAATTCTATTTTTATTTCGTTGTCGAGTGTGTACCTATCTAACTGTGTATTTTTTACGTGTCATATTTAAAACAGCAAGGGCTTTCAACAAATAAATTATATCGATAACGCATTTATTTTGTTTTTAAAATAAGTTCACCAAGACATCTTACATGTTAGATTGTGTATGTATATGTATAGTCTCTAAATATCATAAATACTATATGTATGCAAACATAACATAGTAAAAATATGATTTGTTTGGACGACCGAACTTAGATCTCCGGTTCCGGGAACCGGGAGGGAAACGAAAATAGTTCCATAGTAAATATGTGGATGTACAGTCAGCGTCAAATATGTACCTAGATGTTCAGGGCACTCAATTATATTGACACACACAAACCATCAAAATATCGGCACAACAAAGTCATATAATTCACGCAAGCATCATATAATATATAATTAATAATATAATTGAGTACCCAGAATGTTCCTATGTATTTGACACTGACTGTAAAGCCAGTCAACTTACTTCTGCTCATGCTATGCCAATGTAAGAAAATATTTTTTTAAAGGTGGTAGCCATTGATTCCAATTACACTGTAAGTGTAACCAAGTCTTCTCTTTTATGGGTGCAGGGCAAATGAGCAGGCTCTTTCTTGGACATTATCCCTTGACTACCTAAAGACACTGACATATTTTGTAACTGTTGATCTACTCAGGCAACCAATGGTCAGTGTCTACATACTGAACCAATCTTTATTAAAGGGTTTATTTAACTTGCAATATGTTTATCAAGTGGAATCTTGCAACAAAATTTTTAATCAAATAGGTAATGGTAAATGTCTACAACTGATTCAGATACATTTTGAAAACACTCTTAGATTGCACAAACATAAATGTTTACGTTTATTTTTTTTATATAAGTACCTATTTATTGAGTATATTTTCTTTCCTGCATACCGAGTAACTTGGTTGTCTGTTTACCTACATTACATGTGCATGGAATCAGGAATCAGGGAAAGCAAGGGATCTACAATTATTTATTTATATATTTATGCCCTTGTCCTTTTCTAGTTTTAAATGATAGTGTTACGTAATGTGTTGTGTAATAATTAATGGTTGACTTTTGCTTCAGGGTTTTATAAAAATAAAGATGTAACTTGATTTGCCGCCAAGGAGATGTGGTGGTACATACAATTTGCTTCGGATTTACGTAGGTATTGAAGCAACGTTTTTATTTAAAAAAAAATGGTCTAATGGCCTATTCAAATAAGGATCTCAATGTAGACTAAATGTCTTGTTATAATACCTTTGACATTAATCTTTTACGGCTTTTGTAATTTAAGTATTATGTGAGGTATTAAAGTTCAATACTATGTACGAGGTGATTTTATTTATTGTGCCTACTCCAAGTAAGAGCTTCTAACCTTAAGAATTTTACCCTGAGTGTTCTGAAAGTGATTAAATATTTGACTAACACTAAAGAAACGGCAAGGTAGGTACCTACTATCAGGTGCGTTCCTACCGGCGGCGTATGTAGGTATCTACTTCATACATAGGTACGTCAATATGACTAAAATATTTTGTAGTCTTCATAACTACCGCGACCGGTAGGTATTAGGTACTCAGGATTGGCAGTTAAGACCTAGAGTTGAATAGAGTTAAATTCCAAAATGATCAAAATATTAAAGTAGATAGATACAATAATATCTAAGTTTTTAATTGTCAGTGCCATGCTTCGGGATGAATGGGTCGGCTCGGCTCGACCGGAGAAATACCACGGCCTCACAGAAAAAACCAGCGTGAAATAACCAAAGAGTTGTTTCGCCGTGTGAGTGAGGTTACCGGAGGCCCAAGCCTTCCCCTACCCCAATCCGTTCCCTTTCCCAAAATCTCCAAATCCCTAATGCCCAAAAGGTCGACAACGCACTAGCAACTCCTCCGACGTTGTGGGTGACCAAGGGCGACGCCGCACTCGTTTGCCGACCTATCACGTACAAAAAAACTTACTTTTAAACTTAATAAGAATACGTACGACGCTTATCTGTAACAACGTGTATAACAAATACGTGTAGGATACGTGGAATTTAAAACACTTCCTAAGAAACTAACCCAATTACTTGTATATCGTGACCTGCGCAATTGATTCCGTTGATAATGCTGTTAGCACTACAAAAGATTACTGGGAAGGCTGTTAGCCAAACTAATCCAAGGATTTTATGTTTACGATGTACTGAAGTGCTTGTTTTTGAGTGTTCCAGTATTAAAACTTCGTGTAGAGTAGGTACCCACCTACCAAGTAACTTTTGTGGTAATTGGGAGAAACGGGAAAATGCATGAGCATTTGAAGAGAAAGAATAAAGCGTGGCATTCTTATTTCTTAAAGCGGTATCAGGTCTTCTAGATAGACCAGATAGCGAGATGGACCCGATTGGTCAATGTATGACACGGTGTCGCGGTGTGGTCCTTGAGACATACAATAAGTAATGTATGTGAGCAGTAGATATACTCATATCTACAGTACCTACTAAGCGTTGTACTGTCAGAGCTCCAGAGTAGGTCTATAAGAGGTTTTTTTTTTGTTAGGGGAAAATCATCAAATGACTTCTCCCGCCCAGGGTAAGGCGAGAGACAGTGTCAGACTCTTACTGACTAAAAATCCCCCCGTTCCTTCTCTTGCTCTGAGGCCGCGGTGACTCATTCCGCTAAGCCCGCAATCCCGGCTGGTCTATAAGAGGACTTGGGTCCCCATATAGGTGATGGTTTTAATGAGGTAAGAATCCCACATTCTATAACCCTTCTCCCTATTTATAAAGCTAGGCGCCTTTTGAAGGGTTCCCTCTTTCTCTGTAAAAGGGGAAATTGATGGGAATGTAGGGGTACCTAAATATGAGCACATTTGGTTTTCGAAAAGGATTGTATAAGGTTGATACTTACTAGTTGTGTTATGGTTTTGTAGCGTAGGTGAGTATTTTATCAATCCAAATCTAAACTAATATTATAAATCTGTCTGTCTATATTTTCTTTACGCCTTAACTACTGTACCGATTTGTGTGTGGTACAGACATAGTTTGGAAATTAAGAAAGGACATCGCATCGTCGTCGTAAGTAGTGTTGCCCAAATGCAAGAACAAGACGATACTTAGCCAGTCTTGGTCTTGGTCTTGCGCCAATACACCTGGTCTTGGTCTTGGTCTTGCGCTCCCAGTCTTGGTCTTGGTCTTGCAGCAAGAGTCTTGCAAGTCTCGCAATTACCTATTAGTCTATTACTATTTATTAAAGTTTACTTTAAATCTTAGAAAAACGTATTGGAATTGGAACATTGTGAGCTTGAATTAACATAGCCATAGCAAAGATCAAGCAGATTAATAAATAACTAAAGATTTGATAAGAAATTCGACAAATCAACTGCCCTATATGTCGTCTTCCATGGAAGTAACTGTTTCTTAATAAACATTTATGATTTATAAGCTTACATTTGCTAAAACATGTAAAAAACAAATTAATTACAATAACTTGACTGTATTTTAAAGAACTTATCTGTCTAGAAAGAGATTGAACCCTCAACTTATAAGAAATTTAATAAAAGAGTTTTACGATTTATCATTTATTTGAATAAAAAATAAAATACAACACAAATCAACAGCTTTATCATTAGGTTATGATACTTTATATCAATTTTTTTGACCAAGAATTAATACAAAGTAACCATCTGGCTGACTCATCACTTAACCTATTTCTATGTTTTCTAATTAGGTACTAATGATGCTTTAGAAAATAACTTCTCAGCAGTTTCAAGTATATTTGAAAGTGGCTACAATATTTATTAAACGGGTGATATTTGAACACTTTTTTGATATTTTTTCTTGTAAAAACTTAAGAAATATAATAACTAAATGTACAATAATAGTACCTACTTAAGTAATTAGTTTAAAGCCATATAAGTAATCAATATTATAATTATATACTGACTAGAATTAATTAATATGACATCTACTACCTATCCTTACCATTTTATCCTAATCATAATACTACTTGCGTGATCAGTACCTACTTATAATGTATTCATTTTCATTCTAAACACTCTGTAACTTATTTATTCTTTGGAACACCTGTAGGTACTCTTAATTCGAAATTATTTTGCATGAGTATACCTACGCCCTATGGCGGCAATCAAATAGCGTCAAATGTTATGATTTCGGCGTGGCGATTGTTTTAGATTTCAAAAAAGCCGCCGGCGCGTGTATCATAACCATGTACTTCCGAAAAGCGGCAAATTTCTTTAAGAAGTAAGTACAAAACCTTTGATGCCGCATTATCAAAATGCCGATGGTTAAAACATAACTATGCATGCACTCAGTTTGATTTTAATAGATATTTTTTTATTCGCTATGTTTATGGTATTATTCGTTATGCGCATAGATCCAGTTTTTCATATTCTTTGATACAGTTTTTTGCGTCTCATAGAATTCCTAAGCGTACCTACCTATACACCGAACTGTTAGGTACACCTAACTACTCAGTGAAATAGCGCCAAGTCCTAGCTGTAAGACGGAAGAGTCTTGCAGGCTATGTCTTGTTCTTGCTCAAGTCTTGCACGGTAAGTCTTGGTCTTGCTAAAAATACGCGGTGTTGTTCTTGGTCTTGGTCTTGCAAAAACGCAAGAACAAGACCAAGACTGAATTTGGGCAACACTAGTCGTAAGCCTATAAGTGCCCACTGCTGAGCAAAGGCCTCTTCTCACACGGAGAAGGCTAGAGCATTAATCACCACGCTTGCTCAATGCGGGTTGGCGATTTCAGACTTATAATTATAAATTATAAGTCCAGGTTTCCTCACGATGTTTATCTTCACCATATGTCAGTGGTGTCTAAATAATCATAGAAAGTACGTTTCGAACCCACACCCTCATGCATGAGAAGCGGGCGCCTTAACCTCTGGGCCACCACGACCTTAAGAAAGGACATAGCATAGTTTTAACCTGAAAATCCCGCAAAAGCGGGAACTTCTGCAAAAGATCTGCAGGAAGTCACTATTCCTCGCGAACAAAGTCGCCGGCCAAAGCTAGTTGTTAATATTTTTTTTAATTTAGGTATTTGACGATGATATTTATTTTCAATCCATAATTTATTAAGTTCGTACCTATTATTACCTTTAAACAATAACACTTTGCGTAAAACTGCCCTCTGCATGAAAATAACTACCTGAGTAAAGTGCACGGCAAAAACATAAAATGACACATTCGCGTGTCTTGCACAGCATGCGATCCGAGAATTACAGGCGTTTCAATATTGAATAAACTCTGATATTTCTCGTATTGCAATTTTATGATTTTATTTAAAACTAGCTTCTTGCAGCGGTGTCGCCCGCAGTTCCACTGTTAAAACTATATAGGTAGGTATATTATTTGTTAGGTTTTCGATACTATAAATACCTAAACTCTACCTACCTACTTAATTTTAGGTATCTATACCAAAATTTCATTTACTTACATAATTAAACGGATCTAGGTAAATGAAATTTTGGTATAGATACCTAAAATTAAGTAGGTAGGTAGAGTTTATTTGAAAGAAACATTTTGTTTATTTGTAGGATAGAAGGACTAACCTACCTTTGCGTTTGTCGTTTCTTGTGGAATTGAGTGGGTAAAATCATCAAATGACTTCTTTCGCCCAGGGTGAGGCGAGAGGAAGTGCCAGACTCTTAATTACTAAAACCTCGTTCGTTCTTTCTCCTGCTCCAGGCCGGGGCCTCGGAACCTTATTGCGCTTGGCTTACAACCCCGGCTGACCATCGGCATGGTAGTGCTTGCTGTGGTTTGATAATGATATGAAGAGCCGAAGATCGTGTTTTCTCTATGGTAGAAGAAGATAGGGTGATGAGGACTAGGTACTAATCGATATCAGGTATCTCCATCTTCTTTATACTGGTTTTCTTGGTTTTTTCTCTCTCCCACATCCACTTTCGCTATCTACCTACAGTTCAAGAACTTTAAAAACTTCTTAGCTTATTTACGGATACGTGGTGCGTTGTGGGATCGTTTTTTTGTTTAGGCGTACACAATGATGCAGCCCGCTGCCGTAATGTACCTACCTACCTACTTACGACGAACGCACGACGCACTGCGTCTCCACAAATGATGCCTTTAGTAAATGGGTACCTAGTTAATTTCCGAAAATCATTGACTTCTGATAAACTTGACAAACAGAAACATTCAAATTTAACCCTATTTCGGTCACAAAGTTTTTTTTTTGAAATAATTCTGGGAATTGATATCTAATATTGTTAAACGTGCGTACACCAATAAGCCTAATGGGTGAAAGAAGAAGCAAGAGAAGTCATTTAATGATTTTCTGCTCACAATAAAAAACCTAGGTCGTATGT